GAACTGCTTCAAAAAATGAAGTTAAAATCGAAAAAATACATCTAATTTATTGAAAAAATATAGTACGTCTTCGAACGTACATCTTCGAACTTGAGAATATTTAAAAACCACAAATTTAAATTTTATAATCCAAATATATCTGTTTAGACGTAGCTAGTTTTCCTATTTCTCTTAAATTCCATAATAATTTGTAATGAATTTTTGTCATTAATGTAAGTTCTAATAGATGGATACTGTAATATCTTTAAGAAATAAAGGAATAAATGAAATAATTTTAACGTTTGTCTATTTTATTTTTCAAATTCAGCAAAAGCTATGAAAACAAAAAAAACAACATACATATTAGCATATTAATATAACATTTTTTATATTAGTATAATCTGCGAAATCTGTTCAAGAAAGGCAAATTAGGCCCCGGTTACCTTACTTAGGCAAAACGTAAAAGTACAATACTTCCATTCACCCCTATATTTAATCAATCAAAAATCTTTATTCAAATTGATGACTCCGTGGCGCCGTTGCCAAGGTATCCGCTTCGGCGTCGGGGGTCGTGGGTTTGATTCCCACACGGGACAACTATTTGTGCGACCCACAGATAGTTGTTTCGCATCTGGGTGTTTGTCCTCGTGCAATTTATGTTTGTAAAACGTCCTTACAACACAGGATAATGTTATCCTAAAGTGGGGGCAATGTTTTTAAAAAAAAAATGTAACAAAAAATTTAACAAATAGACGCTTGCGCGTTATTATGAATAATTTATACATAAAAAATTATACATATAGATTCGTAAGGTACCACCGGTTCGGAAAGCAGTTTCTGTTGAGAAGAGACCGGCAAGAAACTCAACAGCTCTATCAGTAATTTTATTCTGCACGCCAAATTAGTGAATCTAATGAAGAAAGTGGATAATTTTTGAACTTTTATTACAAAAAAGGGAAAATGCGCTACGGCTTGTAGGCTTGTAGGCTAAAAAAATTTAGAACGTTTATTGGCCTAATGCAGTTCAGTAATACGGTAGCACAAAGCGGGTTCAAGCTTTTTCAGCCCAGGAATTTTGGTGTGATAGATGCAAACCGTTCCGCTCGCCCTGTAACGGATAACGTCGATGCCATCTCCAAGAGAGTGGAACCATATCGCCATATTACTAGTTACGTGATAGCCGAAGTATTGATCGCAAAACAGTTTTGACCTGGTTGAAAAACTCTGGGTAGAAGAAAAGCTCTATATTTGGGTGCAACAGAAACAAACCTAATAGATCGTGTACACATTTGCGATTCTGTTTAAAGTGAAAAGGGGATAATTTACGACAAGAACGTGTGAAAAGGATCATATTAAAAGGGCTTTTAAGCTCCGCGGACTATAGCGAAATTTGGAATAACACGCAAAAATAAATAAAAGTTAATAAAAAAATTCAAATAAATAGTGGTAGTATAAAATGTGACAACGCCATCTGTTTTGACGGGATTGAACTAACCATTCGACACGACGTTTGTGTTTCGATCATGTTCATAGTTTCAACACTAGATGACAGTGATCATATAGTTAATTCTAATTAATTTTATAGTTATTGTCATAACATTTTGTTGTTTATTCAAATCCTAACTTTATTTAATACTAATTTACCCTATAATATTAAGTATAAAAATAAATTTTACCTGTCCAAATTTATATTACAAAAAGTCATTTAAAACTCATTAGAGCATGTACGTGTAGTATCAGTTCACAACAGACTCCCGAATTATATTCAATAGAATATATTCAATATTAGAAATATATTCAATAAAGTCTGAAATAGTACACGCCGAACGGTAATACGAGTAGTAGTATCCGGTAGTTCCGATTCGCAAGTTCGATTTTTCTGCCAAAACAAACAAACAAGTGGTTGATCCAATGGTAAGTAATCATAACCTCTTAAGTGCAGAGATTATAACTTTAAAAAATTTAATTTCATATATCGATATCACTTGATGGAATTATCTAATACGATATTTGAAATTGTTTGGGTGCTGCAAAGGACATAACGATAGCCTCTATGGAGCCAAGCGTTGCTTAATTGCAAAAAAAAAATAATTTTAGATAAAAGACTTTCGTCGGTGTGGTTTTGATTAATGTTAAGGTAAAGCGAAGGTAGCGAGCCGTGATAGATCAGTGTCCGGGCGCTCGCCTTTATTTCAATATACTCGAGCAACCTGAGTTCGATCCCCGGTGCCGGGACCAATGAAGTTTTTAACTTTAAATGCTGACTTATCACGTGCTCCGCGGTGAAGGAAAACATCGTGAGGAAACCTGCATATTTTCGAAATAATAACAAAAAAAAAATACTTTTCGAAGATATGTGAAGTCCGCCAATCCGCAGTGTGGCCGCGTGGTGGACTGTACCCTGATACCATCTGTATAGAAGAGGCCTTTGCCCAGCAGTGGGACATGTATAGGCTGTTACTTTAATTTACTTTTTAAGGTAAAGCGTCTGTGCGCGAATCCGGTGGACGCGGGTTTGATTCCAGCAGCGTCGAAAAACTGTTCGTCCTTTTTACTACAAAATTTAATGCTTCATCTTAAGTACAGATAAGTAACCGTAGATTTTTTTATCACAACAACAGTGAAGTCGGGGAAGCGTTGCCAGCTTATCTGCATTAAATTTTCCCACCATAATTTTCTGCCAAACTGACTGATACTACTTAGGGACCTTCAAGAATATAGCTTATTCCTACATGTGTGGTCTTCTTCAAGATCTCTAAGTATGAAGATAATGTAAACCATCGTGAATAAAAATACTAAGTACCTATACTTTTTCGTTTTTATTTTATACATGTTTTTTTATGCATTTTTGTACACTGCAGTTAGCATTACATTATTATTACGTCTATCTTTAAATCTCTGAAGGTAAAATGTTTCATTACTTAGACAACATACGATTGTTCGCTTCAATCTCAACTTGAATACCGCCATGTTGTTTATGGGCAAATTTTTTTTCTTCAAAATAATGCCAACACAGTTTTCAACAGAGCACGGCTAGCGTAAAGTATTGCCATAATATTAGTTGCCCAAGACAATATATTCAAAACTCTCCAGTTCAAATGAGTTATTGTATTTAAATTTATTCAAATAGTGACTTGTTCAATGTCAGCTAGATGGTAGTGCATTAAGAATTCTTGATATTTTGCAACGCCGTAGACCACACTAATCAGTAGCGAGTGGTGATTAGGCGACCTTCGGCATCCAATTGCATAATAATACAATTATAATGTGGTAATCACTGCTATGATGTAGAAGCCCTAGCGGACAAGTAATTCGAGGTCAATACGTGCGAAATATATTTGAATTATCTGTTGAAACAGTTGTTACCGTAGTAGGGCCGCAACAGTTTCTGCCGTTGTAAGAATGGGCAGGCTCGTCCGTAAAAGTACCACCGCCCCTCCTGAAGACCAGCGTGGAGTGGATTTTAAATACTTTCACGATTCGTCTGCTGAGTGAGGTAACCGATGCGCAATTATTTAAAAGTTGTGAACGCAACGTTTAAAACGAAAGGTTACACATGGACGAACCTACGATGTGTTGCAAATGTTCATGGTCTTCGCTTACAATTAGGTGAACAGTCTGTTCGTTTGAAAATCTTTCACATAAAAAAAGATTGGTTCGGTAGCGTTACAAAGTACGTCAGATATCACGGAGTGTGACTCCGACCTTAGAGAACCCTAACAATATTTATTCGTGCATATACATTAATCCGGGAAAATTTGCTAGTTTCTTTGTATTTTCATTTAGTTATCTATTCCATTCTCAAATTTAAAAAAGACAAATATAAATTAATAAATGAAACAAGAACCCGACTGCATTATTGGAAATATTAAGTATTGGTTTATTTTTTCTTTTAAGCGGACACAATATTGAAATAATATATCCTGTCACTTCCACAACTGAGACGATTCTAATGACACCTCATATATTGAAAAATACGTCAATAGTTTTACGTTGTAGAGCATGTCGAAAAATTAGATAACATAAGCTAAGATACAAATATCTTTATTCGACGTATAAGCACTTATTTATTACACTAACTTATTGATTGTTAAAACACTACCACAAGTCCGGAAAATAAAAGCCACTGACCTGAGAAGAACCGGTGAAAGAAACTCGGAGGGACATTAGTATTTTTTTATGATCATTTGACAGAAGCTTCAAGTCTTTCAAATAATTCGAATCTGGTTGGAATCAATCTGCGTGTATCTAGCTTGTTGAGCTATCTGCATTTTACCTGTAATTTATTTTCAACCGACTTAAAAAAAGGAGGAAGTTCTCAATTCGACTGTATTTTCTTTATGTTTGCTTTCTTACTCAGAATTTTCGACTGAGTGAGCCGATTTTGACGATTCTATTTTTTTTTGAAAGCTGGTGCTTCCCATGTGGGTGTGTATAAATTTCAATGGTATTGGATCTTGGGCTCCGGAGATACATAGGGAACTCCTGAAATCAATCATAAAAAGAATACAGAACGAGATATTTGAAGTCGGTTTTGTTATTGTTAATAAAAAAAATGAACTTGTAAAAACTCTGTAACGTCATTGACTTTATTCATCTTGGAAGAAAAATCTCGTGTGTGATTAATTTATCCTATATCGAACAGTATAGGTTGTTACGCTACTGGATTGGTTAAATCATGTTGCTCTATCTCAGTCATACTCTGCTTAAGTAGTTTTATAAGCCATATTGTATAAAACAAATATTTATTTGTACTGGTGGTCGCCTAGTGGACGAAATTCGAACATAATTACACATACATATTATGTTTAAATAGTTGCTTGAAGATTTTATCTATCATCAATCAAGGTTACTTAACAAAACAATGTTTTAAATGAAATGAAAAACCGTTATAACTTATTACGTTTACTGCATACATTGTTTTACGTAGATATACAGTGGGACTAGAAAAAACATAACATATCTATAGTAATATTGACAAGTAATAACTAATTTGCGATTAAATGTAAGTTGTACAATTACGGTAAATACGCGTTCAAGCCGCCCAGATGTCCCTCGTCCCTCTCCCTCTGCATCTGTTGTCTCTCTTCGTCATACCCATCGATCCCTAAGCCGAGTCTCTCTATCAACCTCTCCCCTTTATCGCCGTTCAGCTCGATGAACTGTTTACGGCGCCTCAAGGCCACGTCAGGGTCGAACACCCATCTCTGCTCCTCGTGGATCACCGGATGGCCCACCAAATTAGTCCTGATGAACGCGCCAATCGGTCCCACTTCTTCCGAAGCGGCGTGTCGGTAAAGCAGCGCGCACACACAAACCGAAATCTACAATAAAAAAGTAAACTTAGTAAACGTCAGAAATTTGGCGCGAAATCGACCGAGTGAATGACATAAATCACGAAAGTACTATTAAAACTGTAATTTCTAATGAGTGCGCCCCGCATCGAGATTATTTTTTTTAATAAAATTTCTTTAAACAAATCAACATTCATTTTTAAACTAAAACACACTGAAAAATACAGTAACAACTGCACAGATAATGAAAAAAAATCACCAAATCGTGTATCGTAAATAAACGAATTATAACAGAGTATAAAAGAACTGAAATGAACTCACAATCGATTTAATCATTTTGCAAAGGTACGGGAGTAACTACTTCGCGTGAGTCGCCCAGACAAACTGCCCGGCCGAGCAAGTCGTTTATTGCAACTTTTGCATTTAAAACAGTTCAGGCATCGTTGCTTAATCACTGGATTATTATGCCTGGCTAACTTGATATATTCTTGCGTCACGTCACGAGGCAAGCCAAGCGAGTGGTGCCGAATACTGACATTCGAGGCACAACTGTACAATCTTACACAATAACTTTTTTGGCACTCTATCGATTTGTGACAAACGTTAAGTAACACTTTTTTCTTAAGAAGTGGTTTCTAACAAAGTTTTGAATGCGACAAACGTTAAGTAACACTTTTTTTTCTTAAGAAGTGGTTTTTAAAAAAGTTTTGAATGTGACAATGCTAAACGTTCTTAGTCAACAAACGTATTTTATAAGTCATTGTGTGAATCACGGTGAATTTTTAAAGCAGCTATTCAAACGAAAGACGCTATAAATTTCAAATAACCAATAAAATAAATAACAGAGCAACTATTGAACTAAATACAAAATATTTTCGATATAATAATTAAAGAAGGCATTAATTTATAGGCAAACAATGTGCGCATACTTCTCTTCATGAAGATCTAACAACATTTTGACCCATTGAAAAGATGATAGGTAATTATTCTGTAATAGAATAATGACTTTGTTGCAGTTACTAAGCGACAGACTTCGGCGCCACGAGCCGTTGGTTCAAATACCTCCTGGGACAAATATTTCTATGATAATTTTATCATTAAGATTAAGTTCCAGATCTGATTGTTCGTCCTCATTTAATTTGTGTGTTTTCATCAAAACATAATTTTATTATAGTAGAGTTAATGTTTTTAAAAAGAGGAAAGAAAGAGTCACAATTCAATAATTATGTAATCCCGGATGTTTACTTTTTATACATTCACTAAAGTGAATGTATAAAAGAATGTACTATTTCTTGCTTACCTCTGTAATATGGCAAAGAAAAGAATAAACTATTTGTTGCTATGTTTAATAAATAGTATGGCAAAGTGTGAAAAACCTTAATCATATTAATTGTACCAACTTCTCTATACCATAAGGAGCTCCCTATATTTTAATAGCCTTGCGTATCATGGTTGGAAGTAATCGGTTTTCTTTTCGGATATCTCTTTTTCGGAATTTTGATCACGCGTTGCTGACTGGTTCAAAGCCTCGTTTAGCAGCCGAGTTACGTTTTGCTTTGCAAAGGTTTTTATAGATCCTTATTCTTCTCTATAATATGAGAGAACATGTTCACAGTCAAGCATTGCAATAGAGATGATGGTTGATAACACTAAGTTGAGATCCTGCAAAAAAATAAATATTTTAAGGTGGCCAAAGGTGGTTTTAAGGTGGAGGTTAAGGCGGCCAAAATATTTTAAGCTCATTCACATCGGAAAAAAGACTGACCAAATTTCTGTCGCCAACATTTTATTAAAATCGACAAAAGTGATAAAAGAGTTTTATTTACAATTTTTGGTGTTCTTCTTCTTCTTCTTCTTTGATTTTTTTGGTGTTTGCTTAATTAATCTCAGAAGATATCATGGCGGAACGTCATTTTAAGTTAAATAGAGATAGCTGAGGAGTGTTTTACATCGACCACCAGTTCCTAGTGTCTCCTTTTTCATTAACGTAGAGCGCATGCGTGCTGCTTTACCGACGCGCCCTCGCACGTAAATACAAACCGCAGGAATCGATATTTTTGACAATCGAAGAAGCCAAGAAAGATATCGGATGTTTAATATATTTGTTAAGGTAGTAATAAAAAAATGATGCAAGAGTACGACGATGATTTCTTTTTCGAAGAGGACAAAATGTACGTGAGTGTCACATTGTGTCATTTCGAGTCCTTTTTCGCTGTCGACAAATTTGCTTATCAAGTCGCGACGTAACATCCTTCCTTTTGTGTTGCAGAGCTATCTGTTGTTTGTGTGCGATACAGCGATATTTTAGACATATTTTTGTGTTCTTTTTGCGGGTTTAATGTGCAATAATGTGGCAGAATAATAAAGTTTACTCAATCGAACCGAGAGTTTATCCGCAACTATCCGCTTTGCTGCCCAGCATGTATGAAGACAAAATGTAAATACTTTTCTTTATAAAATAAGTATTTAATTGTATACGGCACTGAGTTACTATTTATACGTGCTTCGTAACACTTGGAAGATATTTTTATACATATAGCGACCGAAATGACAGCGGCGTTGACAAAGCTATTACAAATAGAGTAAATGCCGGCTGGATGAAATGACGACAGGTCTCAGGAGTTACATGTGACTCGCAAATGCCCCTGAAATTCAAGGGCAATATATGTAGGATGTGGCAGAAATGCGAATGTTGAGATGTATGCGTGGTTGCCTGTTTGGTGACTAGAAAAGATAAGATCCGGAGTTATTATTAGGAAACGCTTGAAAGTGGCACCAGTGACTGAGAAAATAAGGAATTGTAGGTTAACATGGCACAGTAAGAGTATGGATGACTCATGTGCCTAGAAGAGTGATGGGTGTGAATGTGGTTGGAGGTGTAAATTTAGAGGAAGACTGAGAAAGAAGTGGATGGGATGTGTGAATAATGATATGTGTTTGGAAGGGGTATTGAAAGGAGTATTGAAGTTACGGCTGATAGAGGAAAGTGGAAGCAAAGTACATGTTCTGACGACCGCACCCAGTGCGGTATAGAAAGACACATGGGAAAAGCTTTTTTATGTCTCGTGATGGATTCTCGCAAATTCTCTCGCAAATTTAAAGTTTGACAAAATCGACTTGATTATATTAAATAGAGCAGATATTAGAATAAGGTATCACTAGTGTTAGTATCTCATCATAATCATTATATTTTTATATTTATTTTATTTTCCTTTTATAATTTGTTCAGCCGCACCGCAAGAAAAGATAAAAATAAACTATTGCTCTCCATGGACGAAAGGTGAGTTACCATCGTAAAATCAAAACTATTATTAATTATGTCACAGATTAAAAACATTTTTATTACTTACTTTATAAAATTATATGGCTTCCGTGTTTAGTTCCATGGATACAGTTTTTTAGATAAATTTACGAAAATGTATTATATATTAATAAACACACGAATTTTCTTGAATGTTTTTTTAAATTGAAAACGGTAATCTGTTAGTGCTCCAATGGACGTACCGAATAATGGAAACACTGAGAAAATCCCGAACGACATTGAAGAGTAAGTTAATTCTAAATACATTATATTTATACATGCATTTGCCGCTTTTAATTTTATGTCTACATATCCCTTTTATACGTTGATAAGAACATAACTATGTGATTAGAACAAGTAACTTTGTTCGACTTGAACACTAAGGCAAAGTAGTCTTTGTTCACGGATTTCAGATGTACCCTACTCATCATATTTAAATTGCTTAATATTATTTATCTTGCCAAAATAACTTGACTTTAACATGATATATATATTGTAAATGATATATTAACGTCAATGTTAATTTTTGATAAGCTTTTCCAAATAATAAAAAAAAAATACTCTCATAGTTAAATTAATACGATCTCTTCCGAGCTATATTACGTGCTTTCCAAAATGTAAATAACTGAACAGAGCAGTAAACGTATACAGTTTAAACATATTTGACTTTCAGGTTAACGGTCGAGCATCTAGATGACACTCTGGATTGCGTCTTCAACGACCTGAGACAGGAGAGATACTTAATCCAACATCAGGAATTGATGCAAGTCAATTTTCAAGCGTTTCCTCACATTAGTACCGCTCGAGATTGTCGTACCAGTTTCAGATTTCATCAGGATTGAGGATATTGCGAGTAAGCTAGTCCTTTGGCACCCGTTTGTAGTTTATGTACGCTATTCTATATGTGCAATACTTCACGTCTAACATAACCTGTTATAGAGTTTATGTCGTGTTCCATTCCGTTTTCTTTCTTGTTTTTTTAGAATTTTAATGTGTCAACTTACGGGTGAGACTTTTGAATTTATCATACGCTATTTAACATGATTTAGAAGTAAAATTGTGTGTTATTCACGTATGTAAGTAAAAGGAAACTTTTCTTGTGAATCTACTTTAAGTAAATTAACATTTTTTTATGTGAAAAGTTGCCAAGAGGGCAGGCGGTTCACCTGATACCGCATACCGCCTACCGTCATACCTGAATACCGCCGCACATCTGCTACCCGCAAGTGCGTTGACAACCTTTTGAAAATTGGGCTCCGGCTACCTCACTCACCAGACGAAACGCGCAAGTATTATACTTCCACTTGACGCCGGTTTTCTGTGAAGTCTTGGTACTTACCCGGATGAGTCTGCGCATTCGTGCAACAGCTGAGGCTGCTGCGTGGCCCTATCGCCGTATAACATCCTATAAATGTCCCACTGCTGAGCAAAGGCCTTCTCTATACAGAGAGTATTAGGGCATGGTCTACCACGCGACTCCATTGCGAATTGACGGACATATCTTCATATTTTTTTTGTAGTTATTTCAAAAATGTGCAGGTTTCCTCACAATGTTTTCCTACACCGCTGAGCACGTGATAGGTCAGCACTTAAAATTAACAATTTTATTGGCGACGGCACCGTGGATCGGTTGCTAGAGTATCTTGAATTAAAACCGAGTTCCCGGACAATGAGCTATCACGTGTGTCATTTATTTGACACGTGATTTTAATTGGTGTCATCCATTGAGATGATTCAGATGTAACTTACCGTGATGGTCAATACTTCTACTGTGGTATTGCCACGCATCAGGCTGCATGAATGGGCAGACTCATTCGGGGAAGTACCACTGCTTCATACATCGACTGCCACCGTGAATTGGAAGTTATTTTTTATGTTTATTGGAAGTTACTTTTGTTTTTCGTCGTGTGAATAATTTGGCCTGGGCCACTGGTTTTCGCAGTTGACAACGCATCTACGGCCCGTAGATTGTAGACGTCCATAGGCGCGGTTGTCACCAACTTTTGACATAAGGAAATGGGCGATAAGATCCCATCCCAATCCAAGAACCCCGTGTCCTCTTTTAGGCCTAGCTGAAGATTCATTCCATTAGCCCTATTCTGTGACTCCCCAGGACCACACACCACCATACCCACAAGTGGGTGGTGTTTTACCACCTACTGGATAGAGAAGTATAACTTGGGCCAGCTCTACAGTGATTGTAAGCTATTACGCCTGCTAATATTATGTAGTGATAATGCTAGTTACATAACAATAAAAATTAAGCCAGCATACCATCTTTCATTTAAAAACTACCTACCTTCGATATGACTGCACAAAAAATTGGTGTAATTATTCGTCGTCAATGTTAGGTTCGATAAAAAATCTATGGTCTATGAATCGTTTGTTCCGATTCAATCTCTACTGCGCATTCCGATTGTGTGAAATCTCCCACGATGAAGGATTTATCTCTCTTATGAGGGAGTTGTTTTTAAATGTACAGAAATTCGTCTTAATTAATAAAAATTATATCTGGTACAAGGAAGTGAAATTCATCGTTTCGAACTAAATAAGGTCGATGTAAGTAACTGGCATTGGGTATATTTATGTATGTATTTAGAGTAGATATACAATAGCTATAACATTTTTAAACAAAACGCTACCGTTAATCTAATTATAAAATTTCTCAAGAATGTTTTTGGCGGTATGCCACAACTTCCTTAATTATTCATCTGATTAAATCACCTCTTAATTTTGCTTAGAAAAATCTTTTAAAAAAAATCATGTAAATAATGACGTACAGCTTGGAAAGCCTTACACTAGACTATAGTTAAGGGTGTTTGTTACTATATGAGAAGAGTAAGAAAAATGAGGTAATTTTTAATATTTTCCAATCTAAAAGCTTTCATTTCTTCGAGTTGTACCATGTCTATTATATCCGTATATATTTCCATCAATAATATTTTGCCTATTGTTTTCTAAATTTTAGATAAAACGCTATTTGCATTTCTCGATCAACAATAGCCTTGAATAAATAAGAATAAAATAGAACGGAAAAGAATCTGAAGATGGCAACGTGTGATACTCTCAACACAGAAATTTTAACGTATTAGACCTTAGATGCGTACTAATGGTCCCGTCCCAAATTTTCAGGGGTATGACGGTGACATCAGGGAGCGTGGTGCTGAGCAAAGACGAGAAGAATCTAATAGGCATCAGCATAGGAGGTGGTGCACCCTTATGCCCTTGCTTGTATATTGTGCAGGTTAGAATAGACATTTTTTCAGTTAGCACATTCACTCGACAAAATTTATTTCGCGTACAGGCTTTATTTTTGAAAACAAAAATAAAGCCTGTACGCTGGTCTTCTGAGCTTTCAGTTTAGAAATGGCTCGTTTAATGAAAAAATAAATGCAGGTGATATTACTAGAACCCCCACCCCTACACCTTGTCTTTTCTATTTCGTGATTTTTGCCAAACCCCCCTCGCCCCCTTTCGAGCCTCACGTGATTAATGGACGGCCCCTTTTTTGAAGTCAGGCGAAAATAGGAGCTAACTTTTGCACCTTGTCAGATCTTCGACAACACGCCAGCACATAAGGACGGCACGTTGCAAAGTGGCGACGAATTGGTGGGCGTCAACGGACAGACCGTTAAGGGGAAGACGAAAGTGGAAGTCGCCAAGATGATTCAGTCGGCCAAGGTATGATCTGATTTGACATTGATTACAGTAAACACATTTATGTGGTACTAGCGACCCGTCCCGGCTTCCCACGGGTGCAATGTAATATACATATAAACCTTCCTCTTGAATCACTCTATGTAGTAAATCACGCAGAACCGATGGGCTAGTCAGAACCCACGGATTTGGGCCCTCCGCTGTGGGTAGGGCCGCATGCGCATGTGCTCATGCGTGCGTTTAACTACGACATGTCATCTATGGGCCATCGAAGTTGCGGTGCGGACCGAGACCCCGATGGCCGTCGACTGTGTTTTTAGCTAATCAATGGTTGGGGGCGGTGAGAACCGCCCTGGAACGCGAGTGTACCTTGTGTACGAGTTGTGTTGGTCTCGCCGTGCGACGAGTGGTGGGGCTTAAGTATGTTTATCAGTTAACCTTGTAGAACCAAATATATACATATATATATATATATATATATATATATATATATATATATATATATATATACATATATATAGATTTAAAAGCAATAACAAAATATATTTCGATTATGAAAAAACAGGATGAAGTGACGATCAACTACAACAAGCTTCACGCGGACCCCAAACAGGGGAAATCTCTGGACATCATCATGAAGAAGATGAAGCACCGGCTCGTCGAGAACATGTCCTCTGGGACCGCTGACGCTCTGGGACTGTCCAGGGCCATACTCTGCAACGACACTCTGGTCGCCAAACTCAACGAGATGAGAGAGACTGAAAACACCTACAAGAGACTAGTGGAGAACGCTAAAAGGTGAGGTAGAGTTTAGGAGAAGGATGCGGCGTAGAATAATATAGAAGGGAAAGAAGCAATACGAGAAGATAAGAGGTGAGGAAATAGATATAGCTCGTTTGAGTCGAACACATTTTCACGTTGGTAGGGCCACGCAGCAGCATCGGCTGTTGCACGAATGGGCAGGCTCGTCAGGGTAAGTACCACGACCTCACAGAAGACCAGCGTAAAGTGGAAGTATGACAAATACTTTCGCGTTTCGTCTGGTGAATGATCTGGTAGCCGTAGCCCAATTTTCAAAAGGTTGTCAACGCATCTGTAACCCTCGGCGTGTAGCAGATGTCCATGGGCGGAGGTATTCACTTACCATCAGGTGTACCTTCTGCTTGTTTGGCAACTTTTCACATAAAAAAAAACATGCAAGTTGACTACATTATCTCCTCTGGTAAAACAAGATAACATCAAAATTCAGTTTTTTGTATAGATACTTACACATTTCTCGAAATATCTATGTCATACCAGTAATAATTTTATCTAAAAGTATTCGTTGTTTATCAGAATTATACTCATCACTAATCTTATAATTATACATACTACGCCTACTTTTATTATTTATGAAAAAATTATTCATTAATTTTTTCGTAGACAATCAACCGCTTGTAACCGTGATATATGATTTACAATCAAAATGTATAATAATAACATCTTTATCTCTGATTCTTTATATTCCCGTGTAGTGACATCAATTCACAATCATATAATAATTTTCTCCACAAGACATCAGTACCCAAATTCTTCAGTCGTTAATTTTAACCATAGAATGCTGAAATCGTACTTCGACCTTCTCCAAACGTACAAATCGCTGGGAGACGTTTTCGCGGCCATTGGCGTCAGGGAGCCTCAAGCCAGGGCCTCTGAAGCCTTCACCAAGTTCGGCCATTACCACAGGGCTCTGGAGAGAGACGGCATCAAAATGCTAAAGACACTGAAACCGGTGAGTACCTTAAAATAAACATAACAGCCAAGTTACTAAAGGTTCTCACTCATACAAGTTTTTCGCCGCCGTGGGCATTGAACCCAAGTCTTCGTAATTCGCACCCAGACGCGTTGACCACTGGCTGATTGCCACACCAACGAAAATACTCAACGTCTTTTATCTACATTGTTTTTTCGCATTTCAAACAATGCTTAGAGCATCCATTGTTATGTTCTTAACAGCATACCAAGAATTTTGAATATCGTTTTTTTTTGTCATTTTACAATTCGAACGAGAGATGTCGCCATTGCTATTAGTACTAATTTTTTAAAGTGCTAATCTCTGTACTTAAGATTAAACATTGAAATTTTTATAAAAATTGCTTGAAATGCGAAAAAAGACCGACGTGAAGTGGGAGCCGAAAAATTGACGCACAAAATCAGTTACTATGAGCAAAATTTCGTCATTCACATCGCTGCTTCGTCGGTGCCTTTTTTGTATCGGAACGTATACTAATTGTAGATGAGTGACCGGACACTCGGTTTCTCCTTCTCTTCTTCTCTTCACACCTTCTCTTCTTCTCTCAACAGATCCTAGCGGACATGGGCACGTACCTGAACAAAGCGATACCCGACACGAAGCTGACCATAAGGAAGTACGCCGATACAAAGTTCGAGTATCTCTCCTACTGCCTCAAGGTCAAGGAGATGGACGATGAGGAGTACGGCTACAACGCCCTCCAGGAGCCATTGTACCGAGTAGAGACGGGCAATTACGAGTACAGGTGATATGACTTTAATTTCCTATATTTTAACATTTCCCATAAAAACAAAGTAACAGCCTATACATGTCCCACTGCTGGGCAAAGGCCTCCTCCGTACAGAGCGTATAAGGGCCATAGTCCACCGCGTGGTCCCACTGCGAATTGATGACTCGGCATTTAAAATTAACAATTTCATTAATGCCCGCACCGGGGATCGAACTCAGGTTGCTCGAGTATATTGAATTAAAGGCGAGCGCCCGGACACCGAGCTGTAATGCTGAAAACTGCAATAAAATACGTTACGTAGTTTAAAAGATCTAACAACGGCAGTGATTTTTTTTATAATAATATGTTTAAAAATAAAAAAAGATTAGACGTTTCTTTGAATAAAACGAAGTAGCCTTTACACCCTTCAGGTTGATCCTGAGATGCCGCCAAGAGGCGAGGACCAGGTTCGCCAGGCTTCGCTCCGACGTGCTGGTGAAGCTGGAACTGCTGGACAACAAGAAGACCCAGGACGTGGCCTACCAGCTGAAGAGGTTCATCCAGGGTCTTGCAGTATACCACAGGTACACCGTCATTGTCGCGAAAATTCAAGATTCGTCTTAAACAAGCAAACATTCATCATTATTTCTTGAGGACTCCGTGAGTTGCCAAGATATTGGTTCCGTAAATTCAAGCTTCATCATAAGTAAGCAACTCTGTGCCTCCGAGGTAAACAGTATTATGCGACAAAAAACGAATTTAACAGGAGAAGAAAAAATGCGTGGAGTAAATCATTGGATTTTAACGGTGGTAGCAGCCTCGGCTGTTGCACGAATGGGCAGGCTCGTCCGGGTAAGTACCACGACCTCACAGAAGACCGGCATAGAGTGGAAGTATGACAAAAACTTTCGCGTTTCGTCTGGTGAGTGAGGTGGCTGGAGCCCAATTTTCAAAACGTTGTCAACACATCTGCAAACCTTCGGGTGTAGCAGATGTCCATGGGCGGTGGTATTCAGTTAACATCAGGTGAACCACCTGCTCTCGCTTGGCAACTCTTCACATAAAAAAATGCATTATTGATTATGATGTTATAAACGATTGGATATTTTATTAATTAGGCGTCGTAGGACTTAATGCTCTTAACTAATGTGTAGAATTTGTTGTAGCGATTTTAATGGTGTAAGAAAAATAATTTTGTGAAATGTGAGTTAGGTACTATTGTATGCCTCTGAGGTACGGAACAGTTCATCCCCACTATTCGAAATTCTACACTCCGTCAGGTGTTTTAGATACTAATGACGGTAGGAATCACTTAACATCACGTGAACTGCCTGCTCGCTTATTTTCAAAGTTTGACATTAAAAAAAGCTAGTTGCATTCTCATTGTAGTTGCAATAAATCAAAACCAAAATATACGTTTGAGTACATAAAAATAGATAAACCTGTTCCCTCTATTAGAACACATGAAAAATAAAAGTTTCTAGTAACCGTCTCAAGTCAATGTTTAGGAGAAAAGAAAATCATGACAAATATAGGCTTATTTTAAGCTCTTTATTTTTTATTTAAAATCTACCACTGGTTCACTACTCTAGACCTGTCCAGAGAAAAACCGGCATCATGCGGTCTTATTATCTTATTTTTTTTTTTATTTCTTAAGTTTACTAGATTGTGATTACGCTCTTTACACATATCTAGTAGGATCTATATCCGTGGACTCAAACGGAAAAAAAACTCAAACATTAAGAAACACGCTGAAATGGCTTTTTGTCCTGTACTATGCAACCAGGTTCGCAATTTAATTAGCAAAGACACACTAATGGAAGTATTTCAAACTGTCAAGTTCACCGTTCAAATAGAAATTGTCTATAGACTATCGTTTATTGGGACATCTTTCTTATAATTTATTAGGACATTATTTTCATGGACATTGTGTTTGCGTTATCTTTGCCACATATGACCTTTTGTTATACACTACAAAATATAATTTGAATAGTTGGTTTATTATTATTTAAAAAAAATATTAGTATTATTATTTAATAAAATGTTATCCAAACAATGAAAACTTTATGAATAATAAATAAATGAAAAATTAATAATAACTAATCTGCCGCTACTTACTTTATAAGTAAAACATATTTAGTAACAAAAACAAAACCTACTTACGTCAATTATCCCATTACTATTATACATTTTGTTTTCGAGTTGAACCTGAATCTCTGGAGTTCAAGGTCCAATAATGCATAAATGACGGAGTTCTGAAGTAACAATGACAATAAATTCAACTTCCTCATTTTTGAAGTCACTTGAAAAGTATTTTGACTTTTGGCGGTAATGATGTCGTTAAGAATTAAGAAACTATCAATAGATAGATTTCAGGTAACTAACATAAGAGAACATACAACCGAATTGGGAAACTCCTTTTCTGCCGTCGGTAAAAACGGTGACAAACGAACAGATGGTCCAACTAATATTAAGGTGGTCACCACCACCAGTAGATGTCCACAAAAGAGTTGCAGTTGCGTTTACGTTGCCAACGTAAAAGTTTAGGGGAAACCCCGGTTGTCTTTGCCACAAGGCACAATGCAAAATCATACGTAAAGTACAATTGTTTGCTTTCGCCACCACAGAAAGTAGACCTGTGAAAGTGTGCGGGAAGTCGATGCATGCAGGTGGCTCGGTCGTGCTTCGTCGCAGTCTGTGGGGGAGGCCTATGTTCAGCGGTGGGCTCAAACAGGCTGAAATTATTGATGATACTTTAGGTAGGGCTTCCGCGAAACCGTATCACTACCGTTGAAAAGCCTGCAGTTTACGCAAAACAACAGCTGCACCACAGTAAAAAAATCTCGTACTACAATTGGACAGACGTAAAATTTATAACAGCCACGAAAGAAATGTTTACTTACATTGATTGTATTTACTTTCTACCGCTCTAAAAATTATACCTTATATTAATAATTTTTTAAAGACTCGAATATATAACCGACAAATATTCTAGATAATCTAACGCCCGGTTCCTGAAACACTGATCATCGTAGAAGTCAACTAAACAGCTGTCAAATAGCTTTTCAAATGTTTATTTCTTCATATGACTTCATTCTTCTCTTCTCTTCTTCTCCGGGCGTAAGTCTATAAAGCTCGTTAACCTGGGAATCGGGTCTTAGTTTATTTACGTATAGTTTTCATATATACCATATTGCTGCGATGAATTTGGCATAGTTGTAAGATTGAACCCTCCATTATAATAAAATAAATGATCCAATAATAATACCTCTCACCTTAATCCATCTCTCTCTTACTAGTGAAACAGTGGAGCATCTGAAAGAGAACGCATCACTATTCCCGGTCGAGGTGGATCTGTCGCAGAATGCGTTTCAGTACAAATCAACAACTCAACTCATACAGGTAACCTTTAGGAATATCTCGGATACGTTTGATTCTACCAGTTGAGTTTAGGAAAAGCAGGAACTAACTAATTTTTTCTTTTTTTTTTTTAAACATTGCCCTTACTTTAGGATAACATTATCCTGTGTTGTAAGGACGTTTTACAAACATAAATTTCACGCGGACAAACACCCAGATGCGAAACAACTATCTGTGGGTCACACAAATATTTGTCCCGTGCGGGAATCGAACCCACGACCCCCACGCCGAAGCCAATACGTTGGCAACTGCGCCACAGAGTCATCAAAAAATCAAAATTCAAACAAACAAATATGGACAACAAAATGTAAGCACAAACAGCTCATCACAAATCCATTTCTCTGAGGTTTCTAAAGCATGACAGGAACGAAACCTGTTGCTCAATACTAGGCAAAAATGACACTGATATACAACATGTAAGAAAATCAAAAAATCGAAAAAAGTCAATCATTGTTTGGGTGAAGCACCAGTTGATTTCAATCACCTTTAATTTACGGCTAAAGATAATTTTATCGCGTTTTAATTTCACGGAGTCAGGTCACAGGAGTCCCACGTCAATGCGTTAAGGTTCGAAACGAAAATCAAAAGTAAAAGGTACGCTTGAAAATGTTTAATTTAAAATAATGATAATTACGTACACTACACTCCCATTCAGTGTTGTCAGAATACAATAAGGAGGTTCATGGGTGAGTTAAACTGGAACTCCTTGCAACCGCTGCCATTTGCAGGACGGCCAAGACGACGAGGAATTGGAATACGGCAAGGAGACTCGGGAGTACCATGACGCTGATGAGGAGGAGAGCGGGGCTGAAGAGAAACTGGCAGGCGAGACGGACCAGCTGCTGCCGAGCTTGTCAGGTGACAAGCTCGACGCGGACAGCAGCCTGTCACTGCTGACGGAACTAGGCCTGGCGGACGACTTTGGCGAGTTCCAGAATGGCGGAAAAGCGGCGGGGAGTGATACGGTTGGCGATGTCTTTGATAGGCTAATGTCGGATCTGGAAATTGGGAAATGAAAGCAATGGGTTCTAGGCGTTTGATAATATTATATTAAATGATTATATTACGTTTATAAGTGGTTTTATTTCTATCACGCTGAGGTTTCAGTGATTTTTTTAAACATTGCCTTACCCTAGGATAACAATATCCTGTGTTGTAAGGATGATTTATAAACATAAAATTTCACGTGGTCAAATACCCAGATGCGAAACAACTATCTGTGGGTCACTCAAATAGTTGTCCCTTGTGGGAATCGAACCCACGACCCTTGACGCCGCAGCCAATACCTTGGCAACTGCGCCACGGAGTCATCATTTCCCACGGAGACATCAGTCATAGTTTTACAGCCGGTTTCAATATTGTATCTTCAGGTATTTGACAATAGCTCCATAATATTTACGTCATAATTCTATCTCCAGTAATCGAGTCTATCTGTAGATGGCACATTAAAACCGGCCGTTAGTCTTTACAAGGATCGATTTGGTTCGAAGCAAGATGTCTTTATTCTTTGTCTGATTTCCTTCTTTCTCTACAACGTGAAATTACTGGATGGGGCGTCTTGAGATCAACTAGAATTTGATCATCACTTATTTTCACTGATCTAATCTGGTCGAGCCGACATTAGTTCGGCAGTTCGATGGCCGCGGGTGCGCAACATTTTCACGATCCGGTCTTCTGTGAGGACGTGGTACTCACACGGACGGACCTGCCCATTCGTGCATCAGCAAATAGTTGCGTAGCCCTACCACAATACGCGAAACTATCGCGTACAAAGTCCATAAAATCAGAAAACTTATTGCCTTACCCAAATATGAAAGGAACCTACACCGTCAGGTAGCGACTCCAAAACCCTAACTGCGTAATAATTTCCGAAAAAAATACATAGGTATATAAAAAAAAATAGACTCAATTACTTCACAACGCTTTTTATTTACAAAAAACACCTACTCGTAGACGTTTCCAGAATAATTTCTGTTGTTAATTTGTACAAATAGTTCGTAGGCTATATACAATATTTTTTAGTAATGATTTAGATAAATCATAACCGATCTCACTATCAATTATTTATCATAATTTGATCGTATCAATTTATTATTCATGTTATATTATAAATTTAAATATAATGTGAATAAGAAATCGATACGATGTAAGTATGATATTTCCAACGCACATTATTTTATAATTTTAATTTTACTTGTGCAATTTAGTTCCTTGAAGTATGTTGGTAAACTGTTATCTATGAATACAATAGTCGATCTAGTACTTCGATACAGTATACAATTTGACTTTATGTTCGACAATTAATGAACAATATTTCCAAGTACAATCAAAGTGTGTGAAGTTGTGTATCTCAAAAGTTACAGCGAGCTTCAGCGTCATACACCTTTGCAAAAAGCTGTTCTGGTGTGTTTTTGAATGTGCTTGTTATGTGCTTGTGACACTTTTCCACATATAAGATTGTTTTGCTAACCACTACACCCCATAAAAACGTAACTTTTACTATGTGGAAAATTGTTCATTAATACCTAACCATAAGTGAGACCACTTCGATAGATAAAACACTTTAGTTAAATTACTGTTCTGTAAGGATATCACAAAAGTTAAGTGATACAATACTCTTTTTTGAAGTCGGTTACAAATAGCTTTGTTTCAACATTCTGTCAATTTCCTATGATGCTGTTTAAATTATATCTTAATTGTATGTAAAAAATTACAACGTCATCAGAGCGAACGAGTTATTAAGCACACCGCAAAAAGTATTTAAATTTAATTTGAATTAAGCTATCGATAATTTAACTTTACGGCTTTGTCTTTGGGTCTTACGTGCTATCAATGATTTGACATTACGACATTATCTTTGGATCTTACGTTGCTATCAAACTTTACGGCTTTGCCCTTGGGCCTTACGTTGCTATCAAAGACAACTTCACGACTTTGTATTTGGGTCTTACGTTGCTATCGATGGTTTAACTTTACTGCTTTGTCTTTGGGTCTTACGGTGCTCAATGGGGCACCCCGTACTGGGGGTGTGGACCGATATGTGGTGGGAGGTGGGGCACCGCGGGCCTTTTGGGTCCGTGCGTGTGCTCGAAGTAGTACTTCAGCCGCTCCACCTGGAACGGATCTATCACGAAGACCCCGGAGTCGTGGTGCTTCTTCGCCAGCTTTTTGGTGAACAGCTGCAGCAAGTCCAGGTTCTCCAGCTTCTTAAAGTCGATGTCGGCGGCGAGCTTGTGGATTGTGGTCGCGGCCTTGTCCGTCAGGGTCTTTATGTGGGTCGCAACCTTGTCCGATATGTGCTGCAGCGTCGCTTTGGACGCCGACGCTCCGACGACGAGGAACGTGATCTGGAAGCGGCAGGGGAGAAAGTCATCAGATTAGAGCAAGCAATGAGCAAGTGGTCCGAACGATGGAAAGTTTAATGAATTGAAGAACCCGCGATTGACCATTGTCCGAGCAATCGCTTTCAATTCGAAATACTCTAACGTGAGGTCTTATTCCGGTGCCGACCAATGAAATGGTCAATTTCAGTTGTAATTACTTTAGTAAGTGCTCAGTAGTGCTGAAAACTTCACTTCGTTAAAAGGTAACATATGCAACCCTACGGGTGTTGCAAACATCCAGGAGCGGCTATCACTTGTGAACCACCAGCTTACTTGCCACTTTCTCACATAAAATATATTAATAATAATAATAATAAAAAAAAAAATATTTCGAAGATATGCGGACGCGCGGTGCCCTGGTAGCCTCTACACAGAGGAGGCCTTTTCCCAACAGTGGGACATATATAGGCTGTTACTTTACTTTACCGTTGCAGCTGGGTTGAAAGCTGTTAAAAATAAAATGCAAAGGATAAAACACTTCTACTTTACGCCAGCCTTGTGAGATGTGATACTTAAAAACGAAAATTCCGCGCTAAGTACATTCTCAGCTACTCACAAATATAACAATCCTCATGATGAGTGATAGCTTCTACGTGGCAATGAAGACTGGCCTCCGAGGGCTTCCAACACCCTCATATAGACTACATACGCAATGCAAATCAAAACACGGGCGCCTTATTCCGTTAAGTTTACCCGGACAACTTCTACCTACAGAACTGATGATTACATTTTACATTTATTGCTAATATGCACTCAACATGAAACAAAATAAATCATTAAAATATGTAAAAAAAGTGCGATCAAATGCTAAGAAAACAATGTAGAAGAATGCGTTAAGATTTTCGTCGGTGTGGTTATCAGCCGTTTAGCTCAGTGGCTAGAGCGTCAGGCCGCGAATGCCGAAGACGTGGGTTCGATTCCCACAGTGGCGACAATCTTTTCGCACTTTTTCTACATATTTTAATGTTCAATCTTAAGTGAAAAGATTAGCACTATAAACAATTTAAATTTCCAAAATAAATCAGTTTAATAGATAAATTGTAGATTATTTACTAAATCAATTTATTAAGCTTTATCAAAATCAAATATCTTTATTCAATACAGAAACATTACACTCATCAATTGTCAAAAACACTACCACATCGGTTCAAAAAAAGCAACAGACATGTGAAGAACCGGTGAAATTAACTCAGCGGGGCAATTTCTAAAAACTTTGTATATTTCTAAAAATTTGTCTTTAGTCGCGCTGAAAATTCTTTGCGTGCGTAATCTAACTTATGAAATAACCCTTAAAATGAATGAATACATAGTTATTCTTTCAGCACATTCTGAAAATATCAATCCTTTTAACAATACGCTAAACTGTGGGCAATTGCGAGTCGCAATTCAATCGCATCGCCTATCCAGAATAAGACGTTGAGGGAAAGTCGACAGTTCTATCAAAATTCTGCCCACAAGGCTAACGGCATTCGATGAATCACAATTAATATCGACACTATATTTTTTTTTGCACTGCGGCCTATCGGTAATGCGTATGCAGTAAACACAGCGTGCAATTCTTACACATGCAGTACAAAGGAAATTCCGCTTTTAGCGCTTACTAACAAAGACTAAAATCGAGTGGTAACGATTCCTGAAATGCTGCACCGTTTTCGTCGTCGTTCACAAAGGCGATAGGAAGTTTGTAGCTTAAAATATTGGAATAAAGTTGATTTTCCTGCAAATTGAATAGCTAATCGAAACTGTTGTAAGAACGCACACGTGTTAAAAGCTAATTACATCATTATTATAAAACAATTACTAGCTCGTTCCGCCGGATTCGCTTGTTTTCGCTTTAATAATGCACTTCTGTTTGTTAATTTTTATCTTGTTTCCATCTACTGCAGTTTCAGAAACGTATTCTTTCGTTAAGACTATTTCTTATAGCTATATATGCAGACGCATATTCCGTATTAATTTGTCATATTTTAATAATATATTAGCGTCATGGTATTTCAATTGTTTCTACACTATATATAACCAAACTCTTTGTTAACTATAGTGTGCCTATTTTTAAAACTGGCCAGGGCCGAAATCGATGTTTTTCAGTGTCCTTACGTAATATGATTGATTCCTAATTCAAATTATTTTCTTTATCAGAAACCTCATAGTCCTTATTTTCCCGCCTTTCTCTTCGAAGTTCGCCTGTCTTAGTAACAATGGATTATTATACCGATAATCGCCTATTAAATTTGAACAAACATTCCGAATTGACACCGAGGCATTCCTAACGCAGGCAAGATAAGTTACGAAGCGTCTGAACGCTCAGCATCTATGTGACCTCATCAGTCCAGGAAATTTAGATGACAACAATGAACTCAGTAGACAACCGGAGAGGCACATAAGTAAAGATGAATTGAAAGCCGCAGTTGAAACAGTTTCGTCTCAGACAACGTCGGAATTAAACGCAACGTTCGGTGTAAGTGATTAACGATCAATTTAATTTAAATTGGAAAGGTCGGGATCGGGATAGAAGGGCTGGAGTTAACATCATCGTCATTTCAGTTTGTTTTAGTCCACTGCTGAAAATAGGCCTCTTGACTATAGGTCGCATAGACTGCCACGAAGCACGATCTTCAGTCACCTGCATCCATCGTCTGACCGCACCAATGTGCGGTGCCAATGCACAGGTCGAATCAAACACGTCTTTGGTAATCGCGCCCTGATGCTTTAACCACTAAGATAAAACGATTCCACGCCGACGAAGAACCCAACTTATTTTATCTACACATTTTTTATTTATACAGAATTAAAAAATATATACTTACTAGAACAATGAACCTAAAACTAAAAACCTTAAAAAATATAATCATCTGCATTCCGTTTATTATATTTTTTGCGATTTTTTTTCATGTAAGAAGATACTTCTTTAGCTTAACAAGCAAACGAGCAGTCGGTTGAACAGATATTACAGAAGCGTTACCACACCTTTTTTTATGTGAAAAGTTGCCAAACGAGCAGACGGTTTACCTGATGTTAAGTGAATACCGCCGCCCATGGACATCTGCCACACCCGAGGGTTACAGATGCGTTGACAACCTTTTGAAAATTGGGCTCCGGCTACCTCACTCACCAGACGAAACGCGAAAGTATTTGTCATACTTCCACTTTACGCTGGTCTTCTGTGGGGTCGTGGTACTTACCTGGACGGGCCTGCCCATTCGTGCAACATGCAGTATTCTATAAATGATAAATCTGAAAGAAAACCCAATCGGTTTGTCAGCTATGATGAAACATATATGTTTTACGACAGTCAAAGACGTCCGTCTATAAAAACTATAAATTGGTCTCAGGACTATGATGAAAAGTGGGATACACCTTATTACACCTAATTAAAATTAAGAATACCATATTATTATACTTACTTACACTTATAGTATCTAACAGCATTGGTGACTAAATAATTTTTCGGTGAATAAAAGTACAAAGAATCTATATGATTTTTTCAAAGAGATTAAAAGTACTCTAAAGTGACATTTATTGTTTTCTATCAATAGCAGAAATCAAGCGAGCAAGTCCACTAGGACTAACTAACTAACTAATAGAAAGTTGTATGATTGATATACCTAAATCGCACGCAGTGACCTGAATTAACTAATAATTAATTAACTTAGTGTTAATTAAATAAAATTAATTTGTCTGCCTTAAAAGCTTAATAAAGCTCCATTTGACACAAAGAATGCCGTTTAATCAATATGCCAGACTTGTTTACTTTAGTTATTTTTGCAGCATCTTGTCGTACGGCATTTTGTTGTGGGGAAATGCATCAGATATAAATTCTATATTCATTCTTCAAAAAAGAGCTGTTCGAGCAATCTACAATATCAGAGCACGGAATTCACTCAGAGATCTTTTCAAAGAGGTTAATATACTCACTGTTGTTTCTCAATACATTTATTGTATTATTTTGTATATACGTCATAACTTTAATTATTACCTAAAGAATAATGACAGACATAAAATAACCACTAGAAATAAGGACAAACTTACTACACCATTGTTTCGTCTACAAAAATTAAATAGGTCGTTCGTGGGGCAAAGTGAGCGCATCTATAATAAAATCCCACAGTCGATATAAAGTTTGCCGGTTGACCAATTTAAATGTAAAATTAAAAATCAACTAATGATTAAAGCATATTATACCATTTCGGAATATCTCGAAAACGCCAATGTGTGGAGTTAATACTGTTGATACTCACGTAGGCCAGAATAACATTATTATACGTGTATATTATATAGTACCCTGATATTTTTGAAAAAGAGCAACTGTTGAGTTTCTTGCCGGTCTCTTCTGAACAGAAACCGCTTTCCGAACCGGTGGTACCTTACGAACCTATACACATAATCTTTGATGTAAAATTTGATGATTCATAAGAGCGCGCAAGCGTCTATTTGAATAAATATATTTTTGATTTTGATTTTATGTTAATCGCTTATTGGCGTCTCTGAGTACCTTCGCCGTGGGGCATTCGTGCGGCACTCTATCAAATAGTATGTAATAGGTCATAACACTTTCGTATCACGCCGTAAGCCATTCGAACTGGTAACAAATCACTGTCACGCTGATGTAAGCGAAACTTTACGTGTAGAATACTGAATGTTATTGACACAATATAATAAACTATGATCAACATATCGCAGCGGTTAGAATGTATGACTTTTGTCTTAGAGACCGAAATCGCGTTTTAAGACAACCCAAAAAAAAAGAAAAACTGGCCAAGTCCGCAGTCGGACTCGCGCATGAAGTGTTCCGTACCGTCATTTATAAATACAGTTAAAAAATCATATCTATTGTATAAGAGCCCCACTTAAATATATCCTTATTCTCTTTTTTAGTCTTTGTTGTTACAGTGGCAACAGAAATACATCATCGGTGATAAATTCAATTGTCCAACTATCACCGTTTACGAGATACAGCCTGGTGACAGACGGACAGACAGAGAGACGGACAGCAGAATCTTAGTAATAGGGTCCCGTTTTAGCCTTTGCGTACGGAACCCTAAAAAAAACCTGATCAAAAGGGGAACATTATTATTACCTATCGTTGTTCTTTACCAACTTAGCAGACCAGTGCCATCATTAGTTAATCGTTTCACGCTGTTATTTTTTTTTTAATTAATTTACTATACTTTCTTTATAATTACGTATATAGTAAAGTAAAGTAACAGCCTATACATATCCCACTGCTGTGCAAAGGCCTCCTCTATACAGAGGGTATCAGGGCATAGTACACCACGCGGCCCCACTGCGAATTGGCGGACTTCACAAATCTTCGAAATATTTTTTGTTATTATTTCGAAAATATGCAGGTTTCCTCACGATGTTTTCCTTCACCGCGGAGCACGTGATAAGTCAGCACTTAAAGTTAGAAACTTCATTGGTGTCGGCACCGGGGATCGAACTCAGGTTGCTCGAGTATATTGAATTAAAGGCGAGCGCCCGGAAACTGAGCTATCACGGCTATATAATCATGTATATAGTTGTATTTATTACAGTAATATATTTATTGATCAACCGCTGTTATTGCAACATTATATACATAATGATTTATTTATATATCATCTGAATTCATTTCAGTACCTCTATAATGTCCGATGATAGACCATAAAATCATGAAGTGATATGGCTCTTTATTTGATTTTTAAAAACTAATAACGATTTTACTTCCTTAACGGTTAGGATAATTTATTGAATGTTTGTGTTCCTTCAAATAAAATAATTCTGTTTTCGTAATTCGTCCTAGAAAACTTTAAACAATTATTGTTAATTGCCCGTATGTTTACAAATGAAATTTATGAAAGTATGTCTTTTTTTAAATATCTTTAATAAAAATATAAGTGAATAGATTTGAGCAAGAATCATTAGTTGTTTGTAAACAGAACCAATGATTCTTGCGATGCTCCTTGTGATTTTTGTAAATTAGTTTTCGCATTATATCCCTGTTTATTAAGTAATCTATATGAAACGGAAGGCATTTACAATGGCTAGCAGAATTAACTCTTTTTATATTAAGGGCAATAATAATGATAGCATAACATTTTACAAAGAAAGTTTTTTTGGCGTCTTTTTTGTTATGCGCCTTCCAGATAATTTTCCATTTTTCCAGTAAATTTATTTATAATATAAGTTAAAATAACAGTATTATTTTAACGTTTTCGTGATGTTGATCTTTAATAAATTAAAGTTTGAGCCAATTTTTAAAGCATTTTTTTTAACATAATTATATCTCTTTGTGCCTGTATTACTACAGTTTCTTTTGTTTCCGTAATAGAACAAACTATTATCAGATGATAATAAATATATAAATGATACAGATATGCAGATGCATACAAGGTAACAGTTTGAACCAATCTCGTGTATCAGAAAAATCGTTTCGTTTAATTGAAATGCTTAGTATTGAACACATTGATGAGATTTTTGATTGATTAATTGTAAAAACAAGAACAATTCATTTTATTGTAAAACGCAGACATCTTAATATAAATCGATGTTTACATTGATATAAACGACTAAGATCTATTTTCTGGGGAAAACATAGTAAATATCGCCTGTAAATACCATCTGCTTTGTCAAGAGAGCCAGAATAAAAATAAATGAAACGCACGTTTTTCTTAAAATAAAATATATTAAACCATATGCACAAGTTAGTACTGCTTAAATGATTCTATTTTTCCCGTAACTCAATAACATAAGCTCTTACTGCTAGCTTTACGACATTTTACGTTTGTTACTAGCAACACTGTGAGTCATACAAGGCACATAGGTTCGTAGACATACATAGATATCGGTATAAACTAAAAATTTCCTGTATTTCCTATTGAAATTATTTTTCTTTACTGACCTTGAAACTCACAGTGTGACTAAAAATATTTCCGTGAATATTTTAAAAGAAAACAATTTGCAAATTGTTTATTTGTAACATACGTGTAAAAAAATAAAAATGATAAATATTTACAAACAAACGACCGCCATGTTGATCAACGAACCCGCGTCTGTCAGATTAGCGCAAGCAATTTACAACCTTACGTCTCGGCAACAGAGCATACTTTACGCTGATCTGACCACACTTGACATTTGACCGATGACCTTCGATCGTCGAAACTTTCAATATTTTATCTAGGTAAATACGAAAGTGCATAAGGCAAAAATTACTTTAATTCTCTTTACTAAAGCGGATTTCTAGATTCATGAATCCTCTCCCAAGATCTTTGTCATTGACGCTTTCAAATATTATAAAATTATATATAATTTGTAGATAATAAAATATTTTATTGATAATATTTTATAATACATATTTTTTATATATTTATTATAATAAATATTATAAATGTAGATATTATTTTATTATATAATTATATAATAAAATATTTTATTATCTACAAATTGCAATTTCAATTCGATCAATTATGTTTACTATACATACATGTGTGAGCGTTAATTGATTTATTATTTATATGTACTAGCGCGTAAAAATGTAAGTTGTAATGTAAGTGTTGAAAAAATCTTACATTATGTTTAAATTCAATATACTTTTTCTGTGTGTGCGAAGCGATCCCATTGGATAAAAATGAATATGTATTATTAAATTAAACTTATCGTAATAAAAGATGACTTATAAGTATTTAAGTTGCCAAGAATATATTTGTGTGATTTTTTTCAACAAATTGCTTTGAGATATATAACAGAAAAAATAAATATTAATCACTAACTAAATGTTTAACATAATTCAAGTAAATAAATATTATTTCAAATTAAAATTACCTTTGAACATTTAAATATTCATGTATAACATAAAAAAAACACTATTACATTTCATTTAGATTACCTGTATAATGCTTATTGAATTGAAGTAATGACAACTTGTATAACACAAAATCGGAACTCATTAACACCTGCTAATCGAATTTTAAATTCCCGATCGTAAGAAATAGGAAGGGCCGTTGTAGCTTGCTGATGAAGTACTCGCTCTTAATTCAATATACTTGAACAACTTAAGTTCAAATCCCTGTGTCAGTATGTAAATTTCCCAAGAAAGTAATCATAACACAGTGATCAATTTAAACAGAAGCATTTCCTTCAAGTTCTTATGGGTTATGTGAATAACTTTTATATATGACACAGTAGTTAATTGTTTCACCAGCTCGCCAATTTCCATCTTGCAACAACCAAAAAAAAAACAAATGTGACATTAATTTTACTAACACATGAAAAAAAATCACACAAAGACATTGATGAATTGTATGTAAGCTAAGAACGGATATACATATATATGTGTATTGATTTGCAAGGCATTTATAATGCTTGAAGCTTCGGCCTTATACAACAGTACTGGTTGCGGTTATTGAAAATATCACAAACATACAACTAATATTATGAAGGCTCCAAATGATTTGATGAATGCAGGGACATCTATGTGGCCCAGGATTGCAGTTTAGCCAACTCCTCGTCGTCCTCTGCAAATTGATAATGAGAAAATCACTTAAGCAAACACTTTAATTGTAAATAATATTTTTTTGGTACGGAAACATTGCAAATGAGAATGTGTTTGTTATGGTATATGATAAAAAGACACTCTTAGACGACCCTGGATTATTTAGTATTATAAAGGTATATTGCAAACACTTATAGTAGGGGTTTGATACTAATGTGGAAGTATTTGAATACTTCCGTATTTGAGCTGATATAATTATGTAGCAGCAAAATCTTAATATTAAGTCATAATTGTTTAATAAATACTCTTATCCCGGAACCTATTAAAAATACGTGCAGAACCATATACGTGATAGTAATGAGATTTCTTAAAAAATGTATATAAACATATAATAATTTTCTGGACATATTTCTATGCAATGTTAGATAGTCCCAAACTAAGCAAAGCTTAAACAATGGTAACTAGTTAGCTGATAAACATATTTAAACATACATCTATTTAAATAAATACATAATCCATATGTATAAACATGACATGCCATCAAATTCTCTCATCCCGTTCACTCTTAATTCTCATTCCATCATCGATTGCAGCCTAAGAAGTTTAACTTCTGGTCTTTCTCGTTGATTTAAAAAAAAACACTAGCACTTGTGTGTACATCTCAAAATTTGGCCTTGGAGTACAACAAAAAAAAAATACTCTCTCACTCACCAACTTGTTTGGTCTTGCTGGGCTTTGGTTTGTCGTGGACAAGCTCCGAGGCTGGCACTTCGGGCAGGTTGTCCGTAGGCACATTGATTCCGAGCATTTCCTTGTCCAGGTCTTCCTGCAATGACGAAAGAAAATAATTATGATAGACAATAAATATCCTGCTTGAGGCAAGAGACCATAGGCTCTCATTCTACTTACACTACTACTAGTTAGTTTTATATATTTTTTACATTAATAATGTTGGACAATGGATCTCTGCCCTCTTTGCTGGGTAAAAAGCATGATGTTGGGTTGTTAATTTGCTGCATTTGACGTCAGAGTGTTGGGATGATTTTTGGGTCTTTTGAAAAACCGCTTGGTTCTCTAAAATATTCGCGTCTAAATTATCTAGAGTCTGCAATCGCTGTACAGGTCGACGTAGCGTTAATACCGCCTTGCACTGGTTCAACTTATTTTATAAAACCTGAAGTTAGTGCTGGCGTGTAGTGCTGGTGGGCATGAAGGATTCATACACAAACCTTATACAGCAATCATTTCTACCTTAAGCGATTTTTACTTGACGCGTTGGATAAGCTTTACAGCAATTGTTTGTTGTCACTAGCCACTAATCACACTAATATGGGTATACAAAAAACTGGCCATGTGCGAGTCCGACTCGCACACGAAGGGTTCCGTATTTTAGTACATTATCTACAAAAACGGTAAAAAAAATCATGTCCTTTGTACGGAAACCTAACTCTAATCTGTTTTTTAGTATTTGTTGTTACAGCGGCGACAGAAATACATTATCTGTGAAATAGCCTGGTGAAAGACAGACGGACAGATAGACAGACAGCGGAGTCTTAGTAGTCGGGTTCCCGTTGTACCCTTTGGGTACAGAACCCTAAAAATGTGTTTTAAAATTTTGTTTTAGGAGAGTCAACATGTAATGCTAAAATAATATACTATATACAGCGTGTCGTTACCCTCGCGACAATTAATGAAAACACGTCTAACGCTACTTGCCAATAATCATAAAAAAATATTAACGTTAAACAAAATCCATAATTAAAAAAAAATATTTTTCAAACAAACTAATTAAGTAAAAAAGAAACAAAATTTGTAACATCCTATACAACTACAACTGACTGATTCATATATTCAGAGACTTTTTTTGTTGCCACGGCGTCGCATTACAAGCCTCTCCTTCTAATAAAATGTTTTGTCTCTTTTAAATTAATTCAACCCATTCATGCTTTGTGACCTTTACAAATGAACTTTAGGTTACAGTTTTATATGTAAGGGTGTTCTAAAATTCTTTGTTTTGGAAAATTTAATAACTTTGTAAATATTGATGTTTAAAGAATGTAAATTTTTGATACAATTTTAAAAAGTTATCCTCTATATGTGTGCACATTTAGTCGCGTTGGTAACGACACGCTGCATAAACACAAAATAAATCCTTGCAGTATATAAATCACACTATTATATATCATGCAGTCAAAATAGTATCACGTGAGATGTGTCACTGGCATATACACGAGAAACGTCCAAAAAAGAAAAGAAGAAGATATATCGTACCTGTTCCAATTCTTCGAGTTCCCGTTCCAGTTCATCCTCGTCGATGTCGTTGGGGAAGGCCACGTTGTTGCTAATCGCGTCGGTGATCTCGCGCGAGATGTCGTGTTGCTCGGCGATGTCGTCCATAATGTCGTGCACCTTGTCGACATCGCTGCAACGAAAAATTTCTTTTTATTATGGAAAGCGTTGAACAAGCGAACAGTTGAACTGGTCGTAAATGACGCTTTGACATCCAAAGGGAATATGGGATCAACATATTTTTTTTATGTGACAAAGTGGCTAATGAGCTGGCGGTTCACCTGATTTTAAGTGATAAACGCCGCCCATGGCCATTTGCAACACCCGCAGGGTTGCAGAAGCGTTGCCACCTTCAAATAAAGTGGGCCCCGATTATCTCACTAACCAGACGAAATGCAGAAGTGTAACACTTCCACTTTACGCCGTTCTTCTGAGTTTGTGATACTTACCCGGATAGACCTGCCCATTCGTGCAACAGTGAACACCATTGCATGGCCTTACCTCACTAAATCATTATATTTTTCATTGTATATGTTTAATTGTTAAATAATGATATATCAGAATACAATACGGTATAAATGTTTCTACCAATCTCATTTCAGGCTGTTGTCACTGCTGCTTGATGGAACCAATCAATTTGAATCACACCTTTACATTCCTCTACCACAGTAAATTAAGAGAATAGGTAGTTAATAACACTTACATATCCTTGTGCGCTAGCTTCATGGCGTTGGCTGCATCCTTCATTGTGTTCAGCACTTGTGCATTGGTAGTAGCCCCTTCTAAAGCCTCCCTTTGTGCTTCAATCTGTGTTAATGTACCGTCAATCTGTGTCAATTGCTTCTCGTACCTCTTCTTACGCTTGAGCGCAGCAATGGCGGCTGAAATTTAAAAGTACACAATAAAAGGGCACAAGGACAAACAGGTACTGTACATGACTGGCTAGATTTACCTACATTGAGCCAAATGATTATTAATGGTGATTTATTTAAATCAAATAACTGGGGTGAGACGGAAAAGCTAAATAAATTTTTTGGATGTATAACATTAGTTAGATTACAGTCATAATCAAGTTTAATAGAAAAGAATGAACTCAAGCTCTCATGTTTTTAAACCTATGCAAGGTAGACTGTCTAGTCTACTAGCCTACAGCTATCTTCGTTTCGTTTTGTTATTTCTTGGTCCCAAATATTCAACTGATGTCAACACTCTCAGAAACAGATCCAACCACCAAAAAAAATAAAATGAGAATAGCCAATGGATGGGAGAATACAGGTGTTAAAACACTCTCAGGGTTTTTAACATATGTATCCTCCCCTGCCGCACCTATGGCTGCGTATCTTGGACACTTTCTAAACAGCACAGGAATATGCTAGAACACTGCCAAAGAGCCATGGAAAGAAGTATGCTGAATATCAGAATAGATATTAAGCAAAGAAACACATATACAGCGTGTCGATACCATCGCGACAATAAATGAACACACGTCTAACGCTACTTGCCAATAATCAAAAAAAAATATTAACGTTAAAATAAAAAAATATTAAAAAAAAATTTCAAACAAACTAATTAAGTAAAAAACAAACAAAATTTGTAACATCCTATACAACTACAACAATCGCGACAATAAATAAACACACATATAGAGGATATATCTCTATATGTGTGTTCTTTTATTGTCGCGATGGTAAAGACACAATGTATAGTCCTCATTATTATTATCTATAAGGTAGACTTGACAGCTAATGCTATCTAAATATTTTTTATTACTTAGTCCCAAATGTTTAACTGGTGTACTTAATCTATAAATTGTAAAAAAATGCAATTTCTGCTGTAAAAAAAATCTGATGTTTAGAGTTTTTTAACTTCTACTGTGTCATGTAAGAGTAGAAGCTAATAAAATCAGATATAAAGTGTTACAGTTACTTGTTATTTAAGAAATATATATATATAATAAAAGGCGGATTATTAAATTGTAATGTTGCAATACCATGTAACAAACAAAGGACATTAATTTTGCATTAAGATGTGTCATGTTAGTATGGTGATAGAAAAATATTAAGTTATTTATAAAAAAAATACAATTGTAGGTATGTATAATATTTAGTTGAAATAAAATAAATGTTGCTTACATGTAATGTTACAGTAAAATTTCATATACAATGGAGTACTGCATAAGTTTTAGCAATAGTGGAGTTTCAAAATATTACAAAGTGGAAATGTAAAAAAAATATTAGGAAATAAGACTGATTTACTGTTCTATTTAAAAAAGTGATGTTGTAAATAAAGATGGACAATGACAATGGACGTAATAACCAGTTGATAACAAGGTCATTAGCATATCAACAAATGATTTTGGTAGTCCTGACTCCCAGCTGTACGTCAAAGATGTGCAATTTACCTCTTTTGTTCTTTGTGCCGTTTTTCCTCGCGGTTTGTATTTCTACCTCAATCTTTCTTTCAAGGAACTCTTGTTTTTTGATTAATAATTCTTCAGTTTCACGTAACTTTTGTATAGCTTCATGCGTCGTGGGCCCTTTTTCCTCCTTTTTTCCACCGAATAACTTACCGAGAAAACTCATTTTGATCGCTAACTTTACTACAAAATACCGAAATACATACAAACGAACAAGGAAATAGTTATAACGCGTGTTTTATAACAAAATTGAATACTTTTATCCACTGCTAAAGAGTATGCGTCATCTGCACTATCGAGGAAATTCGGTCAAAATACAATCTGTATTCTGTTTGTACATGAATTCTGCAACTTTAACATTAAAATAAAGCTCTAAGCTTAAAGGTAGGAAAAAGACTAAAAACTACGATTATATATTTAAAATGTGAGCCTAAAATAATATATTGAAATATTTTATGCGAACTTCTTAAGAATTCTTGATTAAATTGTTTATTAAACTAATGGTTTTCGAACGTACTGTTTTCTGTCAGTCCTAAGTTCGGATATGTTGTGAAAATTTTGAACTGTACGGTTTAATAAGTTTTCTAAAAAAATTATGTACTTGCAATGGCATATGACACCACTAACTAAAGATTGATTTCAATGAAGTCAAAAAAAACCGGCCAAGTACGAGTTGATCTTTGAAAACGACAAAAAAATTATGTCTTTTGTATGGGAGCCCAACTTAAGTATTCAACTACTAAACGGATGAAACAATTTTTTTGAATGGTATGTCGTTATATTCGTCTTTACTGTGCGAGTCTCACTGAATATGTTTAATAGTATAGGAAATAAAAACTGCAGAGTTTTAGGCCAAAATTTATGCAATCGGTTTATAGGTTTTTTATTAACTTCCTAATTTTCTTTGTTTTTGTTAGTAGCTTAATAGAATTCTTGTAAAATGGAAAACCAATATCTTGATATAAATAAAGATTATTTTAGGTATAGTTTATCGCTGTATACTTATAAAATTTACTATATGCTTTGTAGTTACAAAAATAAATACGGGACTTTTATTATTTCTGCAAATCATGTATTTACGTAAATGGATTAATCGATAGACTGTATAGATATGTAGCTTAAAAAACTAGTTTTTGTAGTGCGAAAAGTTTATTATTAGTAAGCCAAACACACCAAACCACACTTAAACACGAGCACACGAGCGCGTGCCATATTTTACTCTTAACTTTTTTTTTCACAGAGGATCTCCTCTTTTCTGAACTAAAGTGTGTGTTGCCATAATTCTTCTGATTTTGTTTGTGTCGCATTTCTGCGCATTTTAGTTGTCCGTTTCCCTCCCCCTACTCCCTTCTCCATTGTTTTGTCAGTTTGTCACATTGTCAATTGTCATTAACGTTTTAAAGTAGAGAGTTGTTTTTGTTTAATGCCGGGTGTTTCTATTTTATAATTCTTAACATTTATAAGAGTATTTGTGAGTGTAATATAACAAAGGAAAAGAAATAAAATATTGAAAATGGTTCGCGTAATAACTCAGGAGACTTATGAAGAAATTGTAAAGGAAAATATAGAGGCGTTTGATATGACACCCGAAGACGCTATGAAAGAAGCCATCGCTCAGTTTGAAGCACAGGTAATTTCTTCGCCTATGCCTATTATATTCCTAAGAGTTACGCATACATAAAGTTCTGGGTCAATCAAACCTTATTCTCTCTTTGTATTCAGGCAAAAAAATGGATGCCGGTAAAAATACTTAACTCTAGTTGTACATAATTATGCCTAACATTCAACCCAAAAGCGAAACTCCTTTCTATTGCATAACCACTTGCACTTATAAAGTACAGTGATCGAATATAATTCTAGCAATAACTTTGTTTATCAAATATATATCACAGTCAACTGTTTTTATAAATATTATTATATTATTTTTCATTTTGTACATAAAAAATTACAATATACCGGTGTAATATTTATTGTTTTTAATAAATAATAGGGTTATTAAAATAATACATTATTACATAGCCCTTGCTAATTATTTTTATTCAACAGGGCGTAGATCTGTCTAATATTATCAAAGACATTAGCCTTGATGCGGGTCAAGAACACCTTGTGAGCATGGCAGTGAAAAATCTTAAAGAGTTAACTACTACTGAGAACAATGATGATGAACTTATTGTAAACCAATTGGACATACTGATGGTAAGATTTGTGATTTTTTTCTTTGGTTTTTATATAAAAATAAAATATACATTTACATTTTTAATATTACTATATTTATTTGTTACTATCTTGAAATTTATATTTTTTTTAGTATTATATATTACATATTATTTTATAGTATTCTACATTTTATGATATTGTTTACTTCTATTTTTTTTTTTCTTCTTTATATATTTAGAGTTTAGAGTGTAAATATATCTAGTTTTACACACCTATCTATCATAATATCATAATGTGTTTCTCAAAAGTCTTATGTCAGGGTTTGCTGGAAGAAAACTCTTTTTAGGGTTAAGCTCGCCTTTGTAACTTTGTTTTCACTTATACTCTGTGTACAATAAAGAATAAAGAAAAATATGATGATTTCTCATGTGGGTTATTCTTTAAATACCTGTTGGTGGTTTTGCTGACTGTTTAAATGTGTAACAACTTTACTGATTACAGTTATATTAAAACTGTATATTTGTTTAGCCAAATTTTGATTTATATTTGCCACTATGTATTGAATACTTGTTGCGAAAAAAGGATGTCACAATTTCTACATACAAACTAATACTGTAATCAAATATTATTATTTATTTTGATTCATTTACAAACACTGCACACTGGTAAGGCCACATACAGTCTTACATACATGCACTAATGGGCAGGTCTGTCCGAATAAGTACCACAACATCACAGAACTCCAGCGAGAAGTAGAAGTGTTATACTTCTGCGTTTCATCTGGTGAGTTAGGAAGCCATGGCCCACTTTTTAAAAGGTGGCACTGCATCTGCAACCACATTGTGTGACAAGGTGTTGCAAATGTCAATGCGTGGGGATTATCAATTAACATCGGTTGTACAGCCAGCTTGTTTGCCAAAAACACCAGAAAATATTACTTTTCAGAAAGAATGCAATAAGGACATAGCTCATAGAGTCCGAGCTGGTAAGGATGGTGCATACAAAATACTGTTAGACTTTCTGGAGGCAAAGCAAAAAAAGTACATACAAGATGAAAATGCTAAGGATGGTGATATCATTGTGAAAGTTCTCAACACATTTGTTTCCTTGATGGATTCACAACCTGACTTGCTGGAAAAAAGGGGTATTGATACAATAAAAATGTAAGTAATGATATCTTTTTTTTTATGTATTTGATGTTTAACTATTGATAGATAAGTCAATAAATTCTATTTAGTAGTTAAGTAATACTGGTGCCGTATGATGTTCTATAATTAATTCATCTGGCAAGAATCTTTTTTAATTCAGAGTTATAGTATTCAATAGTTGTACCATTTAATAATGTTGCCGTTATAAAAAGTATGTACTTAGATCTTTGGAGGGACTTTACACATCTGTTGAAATATTTTCTTTTGACAGCAATCTTGATATGATAAAAGATGAATCAATTCTAATTGCGACTTTGAAGTGGGCTGTTATATGCTGTGTAAAACATGAAATGAATCGGCAAAAGATTTTTGCAAAGAATGTTGGTGACAACTTGAAGATATTGTTGCAGATGAAAGAATGTTAAGGTATGGTATATTTTAGTAAATATATATACATATATATATGTATGTATATATATATATATATATATATATATATATATATATATATACATATATATATATATATATATATATATATATAGTCTATTATATATATATATACATATATATATACATATATATATATAATAGACTATACAATGAATAATAAATGATAATTTAGTACAACATATTAGCAGCTATTTATAGGATTTACAATAATATTTATCCATTTTGTGTGATTACATTGATTTATTTGCACGAAAACAATAATAAATTTTCAATATTATCTTGGCATGTTGGTCACATGTTGTGATCAAACCCAGAGATATATATTACTGGGGTTTTTCTATAATGCAATAAGGTCAGATTATTTCAATTGTATTCCGTTACGGAGAAAGAGAAGATCTTTTAAAACTCTGATGTAGACTGATTCACTTTATGAACATTTTGTAGCATGATCTATCTCTTTCTATTCCTTTGTGGCTAAATGATGTGGCAGCTTTATCTCATTCTAGCTCAAATTTAGTTGCCTTTGTTGTTCATTATTATTTCCTATCAGTCCTTGGGTTAAGAGATGCAATAGATTCATGCTCATACAATTGCCTGAATGTTGAATAGTGTAGCTATTTCCTCCAAGCCCCTTAGGACTTAGCTGTATAGATAAACATAGCTTTTTTAATGCCAACTCTATCTCTTAATATTAGTTGCTGACTGAGACTCTTCAGTTAATCCGTAAGCTGACTTTGGACGATGACGTGCGTGTGGAATTTGGCAAGGCGCACGATCACGCCAGAGAACTTGGTGTCCAGCTGTTAGAGCCATTGACAGATCTGCTGAAGGGTAGGTGGTGATGTAGCGATCGATGATGGAATGGTGATGCCTTCAGGGCAAGCGTGGATGGGCTTTCGCTGAGCTTGTGAGCTTACTACATGCACCTAAGTCTGCACTCGTAACAGCTAACATCGCAGTACTGATAAATTCTCCCCTAAGTAACATAAGCTTAATTGAAAGATAGTTTTACAGGTTATTTTGCTTTCATTTATTTATTAATTCTCTATGTAAAAACATATACGTTCAAAGGCGGACTTAATGTCATTATAATTATCTCCCGCTCAACCTTTTTGTAGACTTACGCCTGGTTTCTGAAACACTGATCATCATAGTAATCCATACTAATATTATAAATGCGAAAGTAACTCTGTCTGTCTGTCTCGCTTTCACGCCAATACTACTGAACCGATTTAAATGAAATTTGGTACACAGATGGTCTAGAGCCTGAGAAAGGACATAGCCTGCTTTATAAATGGATTTTTTTTAAAGAAAGATATTTAACGGCTTAAACGCGAGCGAAGCCGCAGGCGAAAAGCTAGTTAATTATGAATGAATGATGATGAAATTAAGAAAGATCTTAATGATCATAATGATCAATTCAAAGAGTTTAACCATCCTTTTGCCAACTCAAATGACATTTCAAAAGCCATTTGACAGCTCAATAGTTAATTTCTATTCGTATTAGTTTCAGAAACAGGGCGTTAGGCGGCGATAACCACTTAACAATCATTTTCTTGTTTTTATGCTAAAAGTATACACTGGCAAATGAAACCATTTCATTTCTTTTATGATTTTGGTTTCTTATTACGATTTCAAATTTGCAGCGTTCGTGCTCACGCTGCCTTGAATCAATCAATTCAAATAGACGCTTGCGCGTTCTTATGAATCGTCAAATTTTACATAAATATTATATGTTCGTAAGGTACCACCGGTTCGGAAAGCGGTTTCTGTTGAGAAGAGACCGGCAACAAACTCAACAGTTGCTCTTTTTCTAAAATATCAATTTACAATATAACATGCCGGTACAATATCTAATAAGTACTTGAGTATCAACAGTATTAACTCGATAAATGGTTTCATTTAACCATTTGTAATCAAATGAACCACTCGGTCAACAACGTTAAGCAAACGTCGACAACTGACAGCGAGAACCGCTACATCTGGTCCATATTTCAGAGAACACCAAGCCGCCGCTGGCTGGCGATCTGATGCTGACCATCGCTTCGCTCCTGGTGCGCCACGAGCTGTGCGCCCTGGTGGCAGACCGCGCCCCTGGTCTGCCGTTCACAGTCCTCGCGGACAACTACGACAACGTGGCGGTGGTACAACAGGCGATCAAGTTGTGAGTCTTCCACCTCCTAATATTATTCCAACAGGCGTTGAAGCGATGAGTCTTTCTCTACTGCTATCAACCCAACAGGCGATCAAGCTGTGAGTCTTTGTCTCCTACTGCTCTTATCCTAGCAGGCGATGAAGCTGCGAGTCTTTCTACTGGTTCCATTATGTAAACATGTCATGGAGCTGTGAGTTATTTGCTCCTCATGGCGACCCAATCCAAGAGCAGGAGGAGAAATTCCCGCTCTTGTCCCAGTGGGCGATGGAGATGTTAAACTCTTTCTCCTCCTGCCCTTATCCCAACAGGTGACGAATCTATGAGTTTTTTCTCCTCCTGCCTACAGGAGGAGAAAAAACTCATAGATTCGTCACCTGGCGATGAAACTTAGTTTTTGTACTCCTCCTGCCGTTATTCCCAGATGGGGTCAACAGTGTATTATGTTAGTGGTGTTGTCTAGGTTTTTCGCGATCGGCCGGCCTATCTGAAATTCACCCTCCTTGTAGAAGAACATGGGAAAATCTGCGGAAATCCCCGGTGTCAAAGCCAAAAGTTTAGCAACTGCGCCACCGTCAAAACATCATCATCGCTGGCTAGTCCACAGTCTAGTACTGTTGCCTCTTTTGAATCTGTTCACTTAAGCCGATCAACTTGAGCTGATGGTAAAACATCGTCAACATTTCAGCCTGCCCTGGTGCGGGAGCGTGTAGTAGTGTCAAGGTCAAATCTATTCCAAGCACGTGGCTTTTCTCTCTTTGTTTATAAAAATACCGTTTTGCTACCAATTAATAAAATTTGTGCAGAGACCGACGTTGTTGAGTTGACAACTTCGCGAAGACAAACAACGTACAAACTTTCTGGGAAGTTTTTAAAGACAAGAAAAACGGCAATAATTTATTTACTTGATTGTTTATTAAACGATGTTTAATCTAATTAAGTTTTGCAATACACCAGAATATCTATTGTGTTGCTTTTAGATGTCTCGCTTCAAAGCATTGCATAGTGTTTAGTATCCGCACAACTTGTCGACGGACAGAAAGTGCGACCTCAAGAACAGACAGCGTTCGTTATCGATGTAAAGCGACTTGTTCTTCACAATGATCTCGTTCTCCAACTTGGACCTTTCGCACAACAGCTCCGCCCTCACCTTCTGCGTATCTCCAGACCGCTTCTGCAACAAAGTCATGCTGTCGTTCAAGTCTCTCACTTCGGCTATCAGTCCCACCAAGGATCCCTCTCTGCAATTCTCGACGTGCGGCCGTCCGCTCTTTGTGTTCAACCTCGTCTGCGCCACTTGCATCCTCTGCGACACCTTCATCCTCTCCCCGTGCAACGTCTCCAGAATGTTCTCCGTCTCCGATATCTTCTCCAGCGTCAGTCGGAGCTGTTTCTCCATTTCGGTCTTCACCCGCTCGGTGCTAGCGATCCTTTCGCTCAACTCCTTGTTCACTTTTATGTCCTGCGTCCTTAAATCCCTCGCGCTGTTTATCAGCATCGCGTTCACGCCTTCCCGCAGCCTCTTAGACTCGTCCATGGCGTTTCTGAACTGTTGCAAAGTTGACGTAGTGTAATGCTCCCATGACTGAAGGTCAGACTGACCCTCGGAGAGTTTAGTCGCGCCGGGCGCATGTTTCACTAGAGCCGATTTGGTTCCCAGCGCGGCGTTCCCGCTCTCGTATGTGAATGCTAGCAGTTTGTTGCTCCAGTCGCTTATGAGGCAATCTCTTGTTGCTGCGTTCAGCCTCATTTGGCTGTCGATCTTTCTGGAAGCGTCAGCGTGTAGTCTCTTCACGTTATCTATGAGGGCCGCTTCGTTGTAGAGCGCGTGTTGGGGCCCGTCGTAAATCATGTCGGATTGCATTCTGGAACGTCGCAGATCAAGGCATTCGTCTGTTATCATCTCCGGTGTTATCAACGCGTCCGCAGCGCTTTTGAGCTGCTGTCTGACCGCTTCTAGAAGTTTGTTCTCTTCGTCCATATCATTTATGGCTCTCTCGAGTTCGGTCTTCCAGTAGTTTATGTGCCTCGCCCTGTGCCCCAACTGGTCGGTGCTGCCTTCGAAGTCTTTACACGAAGTCTGATTGACTTTGACGATGCAGTTCTTCGTGATGGAAGTGTTCTGGTCGGTCTTATGGATGACGTCACCTCTGAGTACGTCATCGTTGTGCTCCTGCCAATAGCCCATAGTTTTTAACTGTGCGTCTTCTCTTAGAGTAAGGTTATTCTTTATTGCGGCCATGTTAGATGGGAAAACTTGGTGATTTCAAGGATTTTTTTTTATTGTAATATGTTGATAATGATCGATTCTTGCTTCGGTATCGATTAATAACTGTTGCTATAGTGTCGGTTGCTATTGACGACCGTTAACTTGCCTGATAGTATAGGGTTCGATTACCGGGTAGCGACGTAATGTGTCTGCACATTCGCTTTAGTAATAATAACAATAAAACCATTATTATTATAAATATTTCTGGGAATGTTTACACAACGATAATAATCGAAGCTTCTGTTATGTTTACTGTTTATCTACCAGCCTGTGGCTAGGGATAGCTACAAATAATACAAAGTATTTGTAATTAAATGTTTCTCTTATATATACATCCAGGCACTGGCAAACACTGAGTTTATCACAATGTTTTATAATAGGGGGAATTGAACCCACACCCTCTGCAACATAATACAGATTCACTCTCCACTAAGTAAATTGCTTTAGTGTGCCATCGGTGTTTAAATTAAACCCCAAAATAACTATTTAACAATGAATGTATTTTGCAAATAAGAAATGTAAGAAAAAAATTCATTATTTACCAAAACATTACATTCAATAATTATTTCTATCAAATATTAAAGCAACTACTGCCCGTAGTTTAATAAAATTATTTTACAGATTTAATTTTGATTTGAATTCCCAATTTTACAATGCACAAACTCTACATTTGAGCATTTAAGGAGCTTTTCTATTATTATTCATATTTGATCAGATTGCAGAATTGGATAGCATCTTGATATTATTGATTAATATTGATAATAATTATATTTAGAGCCATGTTTGTCCAAGGGCTCACTGTTAATTCAATTGTTTATTTGTTTTTGTTTTATTTTAAATTATTGTAAATGTAAAAAAAATTCCTAAGATATGTCAAGTCCACCGATCCACTGTGGGATAGCTTGGGGGGCTATGCCCCAATACAGAGACCTTTGCCATGCTGTGAGATATATAAAGAGAGCTTCTTTAATTTTTTTTAAACCCCGACATAAAAAACAGGGATGTTACAAGTTTGACGTCAGTCTGTATGTGTATCTGTATGTCTTTCAATGGCATTGTTTCTAAGCAAATATCCTGAATATGGCGCGGTTTTTTTATTTGAAAGCTTATGTGATCGAGACCATTCTTAGAGGATTTTTTTTTTGTCAGGTCGCTATTTAAATTTTTGGAACGAAGTTCCTTATCGCGCGTTGTGAAAGTGGGCTAGACGGAAAAAATTCTCACGATAATTTGTAACGACTCTTTTTGCTATAGTAAGCTAATATATATATTATATATATCGACGCTTGAAAGCCTATCCTTACTAAGCGACAAAAATCCGTAAAATTAGTTATATATACCATTCGAATCGCCAGAATTTTTCGCGTCGTTTGATCTGAGTCTCATGGTTCTACGACGAGTTTTTTGTCGCTTAGATATTGAGAGATTTCGGTCAAAATCTCATAATGTGCTTACTAAACAACAAAAAAATATTGATTTTAAGAATATCCAGCACATCGACATTTTGAAAATTAGGAATATGAACTTAGTCGGTTTCTTATATATTGACTTTTTCATTTATTTGTATTTACGTATTTTTACTTGTTATGAAATTTCCCTTTGAAACTACTTAGTAGATCTTACCTACAAAAAGCAATTGTAATTCATGTGGTTACGTATTTTAGCTTGTTATTATATTTTGTGAATGTGTCTTTTGTATAAGTTAACCTGAAATAAAGCGGAAGAAAATTAGAGCTTAGATATTTTTAGTTGATAACGGTTAATGTTAATGATGTCGGTTATATAGTTCTACTTGATTTTCTAAATGACTAAGCATGGCGAGTAGATAAATTTACCCGTACGCAAATTTTATTTTCCCGTCGCTAAGGAACTGCGTAAGTTTCAAAAACTTTGTATAGATATACACAATACGTGAAGTGACACGCCTATACGGGTGCTCTCAACCAGGCGCCTGCAGTCGCTTAGGGAGGACGTATTTAACATTTTGGCGCAAATTCAATGAAGACATGGTAATCGATCAAATTATGCAAAACTCTCTCAAAACAGATAGTCACTTTAACTGCTGAACCAGCCATATTTATCACTTACCTGATATCACGATCTACCGTCTACATCTGCAGGACTAAGTAGAGAATCAATCGTATCAAATCTAATCTAGCATTTTGAACGTCTTCTGGAATTTTGTTGTAGTAACGTAGGTATACATTGTCCCATAAACATTTACTTATTTTACGCAGTCTACTTGTGGGTAGGATCAATTTATTTTTATTCCTAGTATTTATATCATGAACATTATTATGTCTTGAAAATTTATCCTTATTTTTATGGACATACAAACATTTTCAAAAATGTATTGAGAAGCAACAGTTAATACCTTTATCTCTTTAAACAAGTTTCTTAATGATTCTTTGGGGCCCAGATTGTAAACTGCACGAATAGCTCTCTTTTGTAAGATGAAGATTGTATTACTGTCGGCCGCGTTACCCCAAAGCAGAATGCCATAAGACATTACACTGTGGAAATAACTAAAATATACCAAGCGAGCCGTATCAACATCAGTTAACTGTCTTATTTTTTTTGACCGCGAAAGCTGCTGAGCTAAGTCTACTCGCCAGTCTATTAATATGGGGGCCCCATTGCAGTTTGGCATCAATAGTTATGTCAAGGAATACAGTTGAGTCAATAGGGTCCAACGCTTCCCCATATAAAAGAACATCAGTTTTTACATGTTTAACATTGGAAGTTGTAAATTTAATAAATTTAGTTTTTTTATTATTCAACAGTAAATTGTTAGCACTAAACCAATGTACTACAGTGGATAGAGTATTGTTTACATCGTCATAACTTAAAGAACGTCGTTTTACTATAAAAATTAAAGAGGTATCGTCAGCAAACAATACTATCTCATGATTATTATTAACTAGATAATGTAGATCATTTATGTAAAGGAGGAAGAGAAAAGGCCCAAGAATAGATCCCTGCTGGACCCCCATATTTACCAGGGCCCCAGGAGATCTCTTGCCATTTACGTCAACTCTCTGAATTCGATGGCTCAAGTACGATTTCAGAAGATTGAGTGCGGCATCTCTTATACCATAGTGGCGTAGTTTCCTGACCAAGGTCTGATGCTGTACACAATCGAAAGCTTTGGTTAAGTCACAGAATATTCCTAAGGCATCCTGCGACTTTTCCCAGGCTTCAAAAATATTCATAACGAGCTGAACAACCGCATCAGTTGTTGAGCGACCCCTAGTAAACCCATATTGCTTGTTATGTAATAAATTATGAGAGCTAAAATGCTGTAACATTTGATTAAACATGATTTTTTCAAAAACTTTACTAAGAGTTGGCAGTACAGGGATAGGTCTAAAATTATTGGGGTCGGAAGTACTACCAGATTTAAACACCGGAATGATTTTACTATGTTTCATAAGGCCAGGAAATTCGCCACGATTGATACAAATATTAAAAATAGTTGCTTGGTAAGGCGATATAACATCAATAATATAACTGATCACCATAACCGAGATTCCCCATAGATCTGCAGAGAACAGGTTGTCACTCCATCTATTGGGTGTCGTCCTATACTGCGATGGCCAGTACGAGGCTGCCACTCGAGAACCTTTCTTCCCCAACGGTTTTCAGTTCTACGAGCTATATGGCCGACCCATCGCCACTTCAGCTCACTAACCTTCTGAGCTTTGTCGGTTACGTTTGTTCTACTGCGGATGTCTTCATTGCAAACTCTATCATGCAGAGAAATATCGAGTATAGCCCGCTCCATAGCTCGCTGAGCGATTTTGAGCTACCTCATACGGCCAGCAGTGAAGGACCACGTATCAGTCCCGTATGTCATCACTGGCAGCACACACTGTTTGAAGACTTTAGTCTTCAAACATTGTGGTATATTCGGCGAGAGGCATTGCCGAAGTTTCCCGAACGCTGCCCATCCGAGTTGGATTCGCCGATTGACCTCTGCGTCGAAGTTGAACTTACCTAGCCGGACTAATTGTCCTAGATATACATATTGGTCAAAAAATTCGAGCACAGTGCTCCCAACAATAACATTAGACATGATCTTCGTCTTGTCCATATTCATATTAAGGCCCACCCGTTGAGAGGCACTGTTTAAGGTCATTGAGCATAGTACTAAGGTCCGCCTGCGATTCTGCCATGATGACTATACGTCGGCATATAGAAGATGGGTGATGTATTCGCCATCGATGTTTATACCACGTTCTTTTCAGTCCAGAAGCTTGAAAACATTACTATGTTTAATAGTTTATTCATGATAATTCATTTACCTAAAATTGTTAGTTATAGTTTTTTAGAAAATGAGTGATGAAGATGATAGTGTAATTTATGATTGCGACTGCAATAACAATTGTTCAATTTAAGAAAATGATCTCAGACTAAATGTTATGTTAGGTTAATTAGTTTCCTTATTTAATTTTGTACGTAGCGCATTTGTTTAATTTTTAATAAAGAATTTTATTCCATAAAAGTAACAGCCTATACATGTCCCACTGCTGGGCAAAGGCCTCCTCTATATATATATATATATATAGAGGAGGCCTATATCCATAATAATACATAATTGATTTCATTTATTTTTGTGCGTGATTTACTAATACAATTTTTGATTTAATGTCAATTACGAAGCTAGATTTGGAGTAATTTTAATATCTAGATAGAATTTCCACAATCACAAAAATCATTAAATAATGGTTAGGTAAATTTACTTGATTTATTAATTTAAACTCTGATTATTTTAGATCAATTTTTCTGTATCAAAATTTTAAACTAAGTATATTTACCTATTTTTACATGTTACAGCATATGCTACAGTGATGACTTATATAATTTTACCTGTTTATGAAATCAGGTAAATTTTATCTACCCGACACAAACTGGTGTTTATAAAAGTGTGAGCTGTCTTATTGTGACAATTTCAATAGCCACAAAAAAAAATTAATTCTACCAGTGTTATCATCATTTAAATCGAACAATAAGTTGAATTTTTATGATTTTTTAAATTTATATTTGAACTTTAAATCACTCTCCTGTAAAATTTGCTAAGTGTCGCTTAGTTAGGGTTGCCTTTCAAGCGTCGATATGTACTCTTGTCTATTCTTTCATACACGTCATTGACGCGCGGGACTTTGTAAACACAATAATCGAAAGGAACTTCGTTCCATCCGGGTGTCCCTTGACACCTCTCATGTGTTTTTTTTTACATTATGTTATTACTTTTATTTAGTATTTATAATCATTTAGGATAACCGGCTTGGCTGGCAATGATAACGTCAAGCGGCAGCTGGTGAAGAGTGGAATCGTGCCGGTCATAGTCTCGATACTATCGAGGTATTCGGTGAGTATAATTCGAGACCACAGACATTAATGCCCAAGGGGTCCACAGTGCTTAAGTGCCTCCATCAGACCTCACATATCTCTGTAGGTAGCGGCCAAGTGTCATGATAAGTTCCGGGTTCGATTCTGTCTCATTTTTATTGACAAAAGTCCGGGATGATATGAATCTTGCCGATAAAAGAAATTGCACAATAATTAAGTTTTTAAAACTATATCAAAACTTTCACTTCCTATATTTAACTTATTCAAAACAATTGTTGTTGAAGGTTTAAATTAAGTTAAAGAAATTGTTTGCACTTTCGCATTTCGTCCCATGGGTGAGGTAACCCGGGCCCACTTTTTGTATCTTGAGCGTTGTTGTTGTACGGCAGTAATCGCTTGACACGGTGAATCGCCCGCTTGCCACCTTCTGCCATGAAACCTCTAAAAAAGTGTGGTAGGGCCCCGCAACAGCTTCTGTGTTGCACGAATGGGCAGGCTCGCCCGGAAAAGTACCTACTACTCGCTCACAGAAGGCCGACGTGGAAGTGTTGTACTTTCGCGTTTCATCTGGCGAGTGAGGTAAACGGAACCCAATTTTTTGATGGTTGGCAACGCACCTGCAACTCCTAAGGTGTTGTGTGTGTCCATGGGCGGTGGTAATTAACAACTTTTCATGTTACTTCACCACATAGTATAAAACATAGTCGTCCCGCTGTCTGTCGGACCTTGATGCGTTTTTTTTACTAGATAGAGTACCTAATTCAAGAGAAAGGTTTTTATGTATAATACATTGCACCCGTGCGAAGCCGGGGCGGGTCACTAGTTTTTTATATTTAGTTTTTATAGTGCTAATCTCTGCTCTTATGATGAAAACATGAAAATTGTAGAAAAAACGGACTTAACGAATTTGATGAAAATATGTACACAAGATAAACTGACATTTTTGTCTCGCTGTTTGTTGGCGAGTCTGGGCGCGATTCTACGGGACGCGGGTTCGATTCCCGCCGCGATGAAAATCTTGTCCATTCCATTTTTTGATTGGCGTAGTGGGTAGTGCACCTGTCTCTTGCACCAAAGGTAGTGGGTTGGATCCCCACTACGGAAAAATATTGTCATGAACATGGTGTTTTTCCAGTGACTGGGTTGCTTATGTAATCATAGTTTTTTTTAACGTGAAAAGTTGTCAAGTGAGCAGACGGTTCACTTGATGTTAAGTGAATACCGCCGAGCATAGACATCTGCTAGACCCGAGGTTTGCAGATGCGTTGAAAACCTTATGAAAATTGGGCTCCGGCCACCTCACTCATCAGACAAAACTCGAGAGTATTATACTTCCACTTTACGCCGGTCTTCTGTGTATATATTATTAGTAATATATAATATGTGTATAATAGTATGTATTTATTTACAAAAGATTAGTAATATATAATATGTGTATAATAGTATGTATTTATTTATTTATTTACAAAAGAAAAGTATGTTCATCAGTTATCTAGTACCCATAGTACAAGCTTTGCTTAGTTAGGGAATAGAGAACTTTGTTAAAAAAAATATTTTAATATATTTATTTATACTTAAAACGAAACATTAAAAATTTGGAGAAAAAAACGGACTAAACGATTTTGACGTAAAATATGATCAAAATAAGTCACGTTGTTTGCTTGTTTAGCGTCTGGGCGCTGCCAAGGGAAATGGGTTCGATACCCGCCGCGCATAAAAATCTTGTCCATTCCTTTTTTTCTACAAATTCTAATAACTTTCCATACGAAAAAAAATCCCCCGACTCGACTAGTGAGCGTGCTATGCGATGCCCTCAGAGCAATGCCACCGCCTCTGCCCTCACCCTGAAGTGCGTGGCGGCTCTCTGTCTACGCGAGCCAGCGCACAGCCAGCAGTTCCTGGACAACGGCGCTCCGGAGCCGATTCTGGAGTGTCTGAAAGTCCACCCGGACTCCTCGAGCGTGCAGGTTCGAGCCCCTTCTGTGACCTGTTCATCCATTCATTCATTCGTTCATTTCTACATTTACATTCACCTGTGACCCGTTCATCCATTCATTCATTTCTACATTTACTCGTTCGTTCATTGATGCATTCATAAGTTTCTTTTATTTATTAATTACGCTAGTAACGTTTCGCCTTTTTAGACTCTTCGAGTGTACAGGTCCGGGCCCCGTGTGTTATTCATCCATTCATTCATTCGTTAATTTCTACATTTGCATTCGTTGATTGATTAATTCGTACGTTTCTTTTGTTTGTTAATTACGTTAGTAATGTTTCGCCTTTTTAGACATGTAAAACATGAAATATTGTAATAGTACATAAATTATACAATTTAACGAAAAAAAATTCACGAATGTAAGTTAACATTTCTTAAAATCCGTTGTTAGCTGACCTCTACGCCTTATGGTCCCAGAGATATCGTGATGAGTCAATTATCGATATATATATATATATATATATCCGTCGTCTATAAAATCACCACGTATATTATATAATATATTATATATGCGTAAACTGCAAAGGGGCTAGTTAAATTCGAACGCGGCGCTGCAGAAGAACGGGTGCTGGGCGATCCGCAACATGGTGGCCAGGTGTCGGGAGCACAACGCGAGGTTCCGCGCGCTGGGCGCGGAGGGCGTTTTGAGCGGCGCCTACGGCCGCTTCGGCGGCGAGTTCGGCTTCGACATCAAGTCGGCGCTGAGGGACCTCGAGTGCGAGGTGGAGCTCGACGAGCAGTGGACCGGCAGAGGGGTGCAGATGCGCCAGTGAATCTCCCTCCTTCTTCACACTGTCCCTTTCCCTTCATTCAACTTCCGAGTCTCTCGCTCCACGTACCATTCCGCTTTAGACTGTCCCTTTCCCTCGTTAAACTTCCGAGTCTCTTTCGCTCCATATGGACTGGCAGAGGGGTGCAGATGCGCCAGTGAACTTACTCCGTCCGTCTCTCTCGCTCGACGGGATTCCGCTTAAGTACTGTCCCTTTCCCTCGCGAAGCTTCTAAGTCTCTTTAGTTCCATGCGGGATTCCGCTTCAGACTGTCCCTGTCTTTCGTTGTTTCTAAGTCTCGCTGCACGTGCGATTCCGCTACTCGCACTCAAGTTTTTCGCTGTTTACACCGTACCATATCAAGCTCCGAATCGGCGTAACGTGCGAAAAATGTACAGATATGCATAGAAGTGAAAGAGATTCAGTAAACTGCTTCTCTACTCGAAATCTCTCTCCTATTCAGCCTTCTTTCTCCACGCGGAGACCCGAAGTGTTTCATCGCTTTTGCTAAACATTTTTTTCTAAACTCATAATTCCCAGTAACCATCTTATCAGTTGACACCGATTTGATGTTCAGCATCCCATTGGCTTGACCGGATGCATTCCCAAATATCATTTTAATATATAGATAGTTCGTAGGTCTTGTTTCCACTGTGGCTTCTATCAGAAGACTGGTTTACAGTGGAATGGTTTAGACCAGGGGTGAGCAACCTTTTTAATCAATGGGCCAAACAAATTAAAAATTGTTTTGGCGGGCCGCACATAATAATTTAAGAAACTTTATTTATAATAAATATTAAAATAAAAAAAATATAAAATTAAAAAAAAGTAAAGATTTCATATAAAAATTTGAATGCAAGGTAAAAACAAACTAGAAAAGAACAGAAAAACGAACAAAAAATAATTCGGTTCAGTACGTACTACCATTTTATTATAATTAATTTTATAACACTATATTGATGGGAGAAATTCAATAAAATAAATTGAATTTTAGAAATGCTTGGCGGGCCGCATACACATGTTTAAGGGGCCGCGCGTTGCTCATCCTTGGTTTAGACGATAGTTGACGGAGGTAACCTAAGGTCCATTTTCTTGAAGCTTGTTCATACTGTGGTGGGGACATGCTCGTTCCGGATAATACCACGGCCTCACATAAAACCGGAGTAAAGTTTCATCTGGCGAGTGAGGTGATCCGGGCTAGCTCTTTAAAGGTTAGCTAATGGATGCGACCCTGTAGGTTTTAAATCAAGTGACTCGGTTGTCCTTGTACTGCCTTCACTTTAAAAAAGTGCAACCATTTACCGAGGCAGTGCGCCTTCGTAAGTGGCAATAAAACCTTATTACATTTAATCGATATATATGTGTATGATAAAGGATATTGTTTTAATATATTTAACGTTATTAATGTCTTTTGTATGACAATAAAAATAAGTTTTTTTTTAACGCACTTTACGTCGTTTCATTTCTGCACCTAATTACTGGTGACATTAGCCTCGTCGAGGCATTTTACACAGAAGAAATACTTTTAACAATTTGAATGGTTAGTTACAAGATCACTGGAATTCAGAGCGAAAGATTAAAGTTTAAGATTAAGAGCAATCATGTACTGTGTATTATTATCATTATACTCTGTGTATTATATATTATTTATCACCGTATTGGTAAATTGCAATAATAAAACACATCTCCGTTTAAAAAAACTCATATATGTTACACATAATTCTTAAAAAAATAAACAATATTTACAATAGAGACATTTGTACATCAATCAATTGGATTTGTGAAAATCGCGACAAAAATATATTAGTATAAAATGACCCAAGTTAAATATAACAACAGTTTTATTTTCCCAAATGAAACTGGTTTACAGAACACTTTGGTAAAACAAAGAGGTCATTCTCAGAAATAACTAACAGATTCATTCCCCAAATAATTAACAGTGCATCAAAACATAGTTTGTTGGGAAAAACTTTGCCTATTACGGTACCACTAGGATGTAATAAATAGACGGACTGTGGGTTTGAATCCTGGACATTGCTAAAAAAAACAATTATCCGGACATTTGTGATTTGGACATTTCTTTGAGGCAAATGTCATTTCTCCGCAGGGCCAAAGCTCTTGTGACATAGAATTAGTAACCCTGTCTACCCCAAAACTGTCAAAAGACTTATTAGCTAATTAAAGTAATTCTAATTATTGTAACGGCTTAACCCAGTGAAAACTAGAGTGTTAAAGCTTATATCTTTCTATTCAAAAGACATGTTAGCCTCTGATATTTCTTTTTCTATGAAAACTTGATACAAAACACTAAATAATTAATTGTATTTATGCGATTACACATAAATGAAACTGTTTTAGAAGGTTTCATTTCAATCCCAGACCAATCTCAGAGACCCAGTCCGAAGCCCCAGTCTGTCTCGGGACAGACTGAGGCTTTGGACTTCTGAATATCATAGTTATTCCGAGTTGAAAATCCGTAAAAAAAATAGTTTCATTTGAAACTATTTGAGTTAAAAAGCAAAACATCATTCATATAAATACCTGTGTACGATTGAATAAGAATCTAATTGTTGATAATAAGTAGTAAACAATGATGATTCATCCGTAGAAACCCATACACCCTCAATCAACATAAATTAATGCACAGTTTTCTCCACTTTACCATACGGATGTCGAAAAAAACGATATGAAATATTCAATATCGAAATCGCATCGAAAACTATATTTTTTCAAATTCGAATACGGCACCGAGTCCGAATATTCAAATATTTAATACTTGACATACTTTGTTTTTGACAACAGGGCCTAAAAAGAAAATATCGATATATTTCTCCACTATCGACATCTCCATTCCTACTTTGCCCCGTTCTAGCCTTTTTGCTTCCACATCAGTATTCCACCGTACATCATGTTCGATATACCATATAATTAGAAACCATTAGTTTTCTATCCCAAATATTATCTGGTATCGGTCATTTCGGACGGTACTGTCGTGCGTTGCTCAGAAACTTCTCGAACTCCCACTGTCTGTAGTTCATTATGTGGTGGCCGTTCATGATGGTGTGGACGGTGATCTTCGGGTTGTACTCCAAGTTTGGCAGGAGCTGAAAGTGTCGTAGTGTGAATGAGTGATTCATTTGATCATTGTATAGTAACAAACAATATATCTCAACGCTGGGAAAATATCAAAATATAAAGGGAATAATGGGTATAGGCCACCACGTGTAATTAAATGCTTTCATATGCTTCTGTTGTATAATTGTAATATTGTAAATAAAGGTTGACACATATCAGTGATGGTTTAGGGCAGGGGTTCCTTACCTTTTAATTTAAGATATGACTACACTAAATACCTTTTATTCATGGGAGCCCTCATCAATTTTTATAAGTAAAGAACACTGGATTTAAAAAAACACAGAACACAACAAGGACAGTAATGTGTTCTTTATATTTGTAGATGTGGTTTTGTAACAGACTATTAAATATTACTAGCTGACCCGGCAAACATTGTTTTGCCATATAAATTATTTGTAGGGTAGAAAAAATTTTTGGGGTGGACCACCCTTAACATTTAGGGGGATGAAAAATAGATGTCCGATTTCCACCCTCGCCGATATGCACACAAAATATCATGAAAATCGGTCGAGCCGTCGGACGAAAACGGACACGAGAATTTTATATATGTATTAGATTTCGCTGAAACTAGACTGTTCCACGGAAAACACATTAGGAGAATCGCTGATCTAATGGAATGTGAGTCACATAAAGATGTTAACTTAAGGTATAATACAAATGTGCAATCTTTAAATTGAACATTTTGCTAGCTTTGAAGTCATGGAATTCACTTAATGGGAATATTAGGGTACCATATCTTGGTAGCCAGTCGCTAGCTTTGAGCATGGATGGCCCTTAATGAGAACGATGGGGGAACATACCTTGGGGGTCAGCAGGAAATATTGCGCGGTGTCGCACTCCGTCGTGACCTTCACGAGGAGTTGGAACATCTTGCGCTCGTTGATCGGGTCCATTCCCTGGTTGATTTCGTCCACGCACCTGGATAAAAATAAACTCCTCAAAACCACATTGAAGAGTGGGCAGGGATACCTTTTAAACACCAGCGTGTTTTTAATCACCTGTTTACGTCGATATACATAGCTTGTTTAAAGGTGAACTGGTCTACTAAATTGAGCACCTGGTTTAACAGAAACACCTTCAAGTCACACCGAATTGGGTGGGTAAGAGTAGATTAAAACAACAGCTTGTTTTATAATAACATTTTTTGCAGCCAAGTTTTTTTACGTCTATATAAATAGCTTGTGAACTAGTCTACTAATTGAATAAAACCATAAAGCTCACGTGGGCAGAGAGAGGGGGAGGGGGAAGGCGTGATAGGGGGAGTTATTAGGGGCGAGCGGGATAGGCGGGATTCGTAGGGAGTGAGAGGAGGTTGAGGGCGCGTAGCAGCAAGAGTGGAAGAACGTAGGGGTCAGGGTGTAGCGCATAGGAGCGTAGGCGATTCGTGTGGAAGCGAGAGGGGGTTTGGGTAGATGCGAGGTGGGAGAACGTAGAAACGAGAAGAGCCTGAGGGGAGGGAGAAGTAGTGAGAGCGGGGAGGGCATAGAGGCGAGGGGCCTTGAGGGGTGTGTAGGTGAGAGGGGGAGGGCGTAGGGAAGAGAGGAGCGTGGGGGCTGAGAGGCGTAGGAGTGACAGTGCGGAAGGTGTAGAGGCGAGGGGGTATGGGGTGAGGTGGGATAGGGCGTAGGGAAGAGAGGAGCGTGGGGGCTGAGAGGCGTAGGAGTGACAGTGCGGAAGGTGTAGAGGCGAGGGGTATGGGGGAAAGGGATAGGGCGTTGGGAAGAGAGGAGCGTGGGGGCTGAGAGGCGTAGGAGTGACAGTGCGGAAGGTGTAGAGGCGAGGGGGTATGGGGGAAAGGGATAGGGCGTACGGAAGAGAGGAGCGTGAGGGCTGAGAGGCGTAGGAGTGACAGTGCGGAAGGTGTAGAGGCGAGGGGTATGGGGGAAAGGGATAGGGCGTAGGGAAGAGAGGAGCGTGGGGGCTGAGAGGCGTAGGAGTGACAGTGCGGAAGGTGTAGAGGCGAGGGGGTATGGGGGAAAGGGATAGGGCGTAGGGAAGAGAGGAGCGTGGGGGCTGAGAGGTAGGAGTGACAGTGCGGAAGGTGTAGAGGCGAGGGGGTATGGGGGGGAAAGGGATAGGGCGTAGGGAAGAGAGGAGCGTGGGGGCTGAGAGGCGTAGGAGTGACAGTGCGGAAGGTGTAGAGGCGAGGGGGTATGGGGGAAAGGGATAGGGCGTAGGGAAGAGAGGGGAGCGTGGGGGCTGAGAGGCGTAGGAGTGACAGTGCGGAAGGTGTAGAGGCGAGGGGGGTATGGGGGAAAGGGATAGGGCGTAGGGAAGAGAGGAGCGTGGGGGCTGAGAGGCGTAGGAGTGACAGTGCGGAAGGTGTAGAGGCGAGGGGGGGTATGGGGGAAAGGGATAGGGCGTACGGAAGAGAGGAGCGTGGGGGCTGAGAGGCGTAGGAGTGACAGTGCGGAAGGTGTAGAGGCGAGGGGGTATGGGGGAAAGGGATAGGGCGTACGGAAGAGAGGAGCGTGAGGGCTGAGAGGCGTAGGAGTGACAGTGCGGAAGGTGTAGAGGCGAGGGGGTATGGGGAAAGGGATAGGGCGTACGGAAGAGAGGAGCGTGAGGGCTGAGAGGCGTAGGAGTGACAGTGCGGAAGGTGTAGAGGCGAGGGGGGTATGGGGAAAGGGATAGGGCGTAGGGAAGAGAGGAGCGTGGGGGCTGAGGGGCGTAGGAGTGACAGTGCGGAAGGGTGTAGAGGCGAGGGGGTATGGGGAAAGGGATAGGGCGTAGGGAAGAGAGGAGCGTTAAGGGATAGGGCGTAGGGAAGAGAGGAGCGTGGGGGCTGAGAGGCGTAGGAGTGACAGTGCGGAAGGTGGAGAGGCGAGGGGGTATGGGGGAAAGGGATAGGGCGTACGGAAGAGAGGAGCGTGAGGGCTGAGAGGCGTAGGAGTGACAGTGCGGAAGGTGTAGAGGTGAGGGGGTATGGGGGAAAGGGATAGGGCGTAGGGAAGAGAGAAGAGCGTGGGGGCTGAGAGGCGTAGGAGTGACAGTGCGGAAGGTGTAGAGGCGAGGGGGTATGGGGGGAAAGGGATAGGGCGTAGGGAAGAGAGGAGCGTGGGGGCTGAGAGGCGTAGGAGTGACAGTGCGGAAGGTGTAGAGGCGAGGGGGTATGGGGGAAAGGGATAGGGCGTAGGGAAGAGAGGAGCGTGAGGGCTGAGAGGCGTAGGAGTGACAGTGCGGAAGGGTGTAGAGGCGAGGGGGTATGGGGGAAAGGGATAGGGCGTAGGGAAGAGAGGAGCGTGGGGGCTGAGAGGCGTAGGAGTGACAGTGCGGAAGGTGTAGAGGCGAGGGGGTATGGGGTAAGGGATAGGGCGTAGGGAAGAGAGGAGCGTGAGGGCTGAGAGGCGTAGGAGTGACAGTGCGGAAGGTGTAGAGGCGAGGGGGTATGGGGTAAGGGATAGGGCGTAGGGAAGAGAGGAGCGTGGGGGCTGCCAGGCGAATGAGTGTGAGGGGGGTACGGTGAAGGAGGTCGAGGGCATGAGGGCCCACCTGAAGGGCGCGGCGGCCAGCGCCTGCAGCGCCATGAGGTAGAGCGCGGTGGCGAGCGCCCTCTCGCCGCCCGACTGCAGGTGGCGCGTGAGCCGCTGCAGCTGCTCGCCCGCGCGGAAGCGCACCATCACGGCCACGCCGTACTGCGAGAACTCCTCCTGGGGGGGGTCGGCTCCACATAATAAGAATCAATAAGCAGTGCCGCGGTAGACGATGGACGAGAGAACTCTCGTAGATATAATTATTTCGAGACTGGAACCTGTTATAATCTCCTCGCGAATCGTACATCGGATTCTGCCTGGATCGTTTACTTAGAAACTGCCGCAGTTATTACTATAAATAATCTCTTAAAATTAAACCCTTTTTTATGCCAAAAGTTGTAAGGGAACTGGCGGTTCACGGTTATGTTAGGTGAATACCGCCGCCGACGGACATCTACAGCGCCAGAGGGCTTGCAGATGCGTTCTAATCCTTAAAAATGGGTCTCGGTTACCTCACTAGACGAACGAAACACAAAAGTATAAGATACTTCCACTTTACGCCGGTCTTCTGTGAAGCTTTGACGCTTCCCCGGACGAGCCTGCCCATACAAAAAAAATGTTCCTTGGCCCTACCGCAGTAAAGAGAAAAAAAGTCGTATCGGTCCGGGAATGCCAGGAAACTCGAGGCCGTGTAACTTCCCCGGACTAACCCGCCCATACAAGCAAAGCTGTGTTAAACCACAGTATTTATTATTTTTTTTTTTTTAACATTGCCCTTACTTTAGGACAACATTATCCTGTGTTGTAAGGACGTTTTACAAACATAAATTTCAAACACCCAGATGCGAAACAACCATCTGTGGGTCACACAAATAGTTGTCCCGTGTGGGAATCGAACCCACGACCGCCGACGCCGAAGCCGGTACCTTGGCAACTGCGCCATGGAGTCATCGGAGCCAGGGAGTAAAAGAAACTAGTATCGGTCCGGGAATTGCAGGAGACTGCAAACTCGAACCAGGAACTACCGCTTACATCTCCGCCGCTCTTGTCCAACTGAATTTCCCCCGCGCAGCCGAGTTTGGCGAACATCTCGCCGAAGCGCGAGTTGATGTTCCTCAGGAGGGTCTCCAAAGGTGGCAGCCACTTAGATCTGTCGACATTCAAATATTTATATTTAACTGCTAGCTGTGCCCGCGGCTTCGTCCGCGTGAAATTTAAAATAAATAAAATCTCTGAAACAAAAGTGGCCTAAGTTACTCCTTTATTCAATTAAGTCCCATCAAAATCGGTCCAGAATCTCTGAAACGAGATTAGCCGGAACAAACAGACAGACAGACATACATGTACCATGTAAAGCGGTTATTTTTATATTACAAACCGACTCTCCAATTTTATTTATAAGTATAAATATGCTTATCAGCTTATCATAGGCGTTATCATGGCGTCTATGCGATTGGCGTTGTGGGTGGGTAGTGAAGCGGTCATTAAGTAATTTAAGTATAAAAAAAATACTTAACGGTGCAAGAGACATAAACAGACTGATAACAATTAAAACATGCACACACTTGAGTTCATTCATTCTGGTCTCGAGCTGTTTGTTCATATCGCTGGAGTTGTTGACGTCAGACTTCAGCCTGGCAATCAATTGCTCCCTCTCCTCGTATTCTTTTATCACCTGGAAAAAGCAAAAAAAACAATTTTCCTTATGTGGGAAGGTGGCAAGCGAGCTGATGGCCATGGCCATTTGCAACACCCGTAGGATTGCAGATGCGTTGCACCTTAATGAAATGGGCCGCGGCTAACTCACTCAGAAGAAGCGCAGAAGTATAAAACTTCCCCACTACACACATTTCTTCTGAGAGGTTGTGGTACTTGCCAGGACATGCCCATTTATGCAACAGAGAAGACTTTAACTTAGCCCTACCACCGTGTGTTGCATGGCCTTACCATAATTTGGTACAATGGAGACAACTTTTCTATGACAATTACTTGAACTAAAATTGTTTAACACATGAAAATAGTAAATGGGATATGCGCTCAAGAAATGTTACAAGAACTATATTAAATTGGATCATGTTAAAATATGGTTGTTATTGGATGTTGAACACAAAAAATGTAACCATTGAAATAATGTTCAAAAGGGATTTTTTCCAATTTTCCAAAACCACCTCCTTAGAGAAATAAATAAATATTTCGAGAGATTATTTTAACACAACGTTATCTAGTCTCAAACTAAGAAAAGCTTGTACCATGGATACTAGTTAACTGATAAAGATACTTTGCTTTTGTAAATAAATACATTTTATAAATAGATATATAAACACGCGGCCAATAGAAAAAGACAATGTTCACCACACAATATTTTTCCTGCAGTGAGGGTCGAAGCCACACCCTCTGGTTCAAGAGACAGGTGTACCGTTCGCTACGCCAATAGGCTTGTCCAATTATACATATATCCACACAGACATTAGAAAAACACTACGATTATTTTTTTAGAAAAACACAATATTTTTCTAGTAATGGAGATCGAACCCACACGCTCTGGCCCAAGAGACAGGTGTACCATCAATTACATCAATAGGGTTGTCCAATTATAGATATATACGTGTCTATGTAGACACTAGAAAAACATTATGTTTATCACAGAATATTTTTCAATTAGTGAAGGTCAAACCCACACTCTGCCATAAGAGGCAGGTAAAACAGAAAGAATTTCACGGTGGTGGGGCCACGGAGCAGCCACGGCTATTGCACGATTGGGCAGGCCCGTCCGGGTAAGTAACACGACCTCACAGAAGACCGGCGTTGAAGAAGTTGAAGTATAATACTTTCTCGTTTCGTCTGGTGAGTGAGGTGGCCGGAGCCCAATTTTCAAAAGATTGTCAACGCATCTGGAGCCCTCGGGTGTAGCAGATGTCTATGGGCGGCGGTATTCACTTCGGTTCACTTCAGGTGAACCATCTGCTCGCTTGACTGGCTACTTTTCACATAAATAAAAAAAATCTCTAACCCTCTCATCCCCCGTCTCCATACAATCAATCCTGGACTGCAGTTCGTATGTGTGCTCGGTCAAACTGATTATGTCATTGGGCAGCGCATCGAAGTCCTCCTTGTGGGGAAAGCCGGGGTCCTGGGGTAGTTTGTTGTCACAGGACCTTTTGGCCTCGTTCAGTTTCTCCTTGGCGTCGCTTTTGGCGCGGGTCAGCGAGTTTTCTATATTCTCCAGGGTCGCCTGAAAATGTGATGAAAGTAATAATAATAATAGATCTTTATTTGGTCTAAATTCACAAATAATGTACATGTAATTTAAAATACAATTATTTTGGTCAGATTTTAGATAAAAAGGTCTGGTTGGGTTAATAAATAAAAATAAACATATTGATATATATTGCATATAATAAATATTATATATAAAATTAATAGCTGGTTCAACTTTGTTACACACACTGTGCACAACACTGAATTCTACCCCAGACGACATTAACAGAATACGATTAACAATAAAATTTTAATAATTGAGAACAAAATCTAATAAAAATATTAAAAAAAAATATAACGATAGTTAAAAATTTTAACATGAAATTAAAACAACTATCATGTCTTAAAAATATCATGTGGGTACCAGAGAGCTATTGTTGCATAAGTGTGTATTAATCACTACATAGTACAAAGCATAATCATCTCACTGTCTCTGTCCCTATGTAAGCTTAGATCTTTAAAACTACGCAAGGGATCTTGATGCGGTTATTTTTACTAGATAGTGATTCAAGAGGAAGGTTTATTTATAATAGATTGTACCCGTGCGAAGGCGGCGGAGCGGGTCGCTAGTATAAAATTTTTTTTACAAGACTCACATGCTCAACGGTGAAGGAAAGCTAACATAACCCCAGCAGTTTATGGGTCAATTATTAAGGTACACAAGTGATTTGGACATGTGGAAGTGACGAAGACGGGGAAGGACATATATAATACAAAAAAGAATGAGAAATTCAAAAAGGAAAATAGCTTCACTCGAAACAAGTACCACGGAAAAATTTCTAGATTTCGGAAAAATTTCTCTTTCTTCTAGATCTACATGTCTGAATTCAGGAAATTTATTAATGGATGCAGTAATTTAAATGGAACCGGGGAATCTCACCTGAACATTTTTGTGTTCATTTTTCAGCTCTCTCAATTGGGCCTCCTGTTGTACTATAGCATTCCTGCTGGAATCCAATTTAACCTGAAATGCACGGTTAATTTAAAAGTATTTTTTTTAAATACATTGCCATTGCTGCGAGATAATATTATCTAGAGTCCCGTGCGGGAACCTCGATATCGACTCAAAATCTGAGTTATGTGATAAGGTGGCAAACGAACTGGCGTTTCACCTGATGTTAAGTGATAACCGCAAACCATGGACATTTACCACACCCGTAGGGTTGCAGATTCGTTGCCAAGTTTCAATAAAGTTGGCTCTGGCTACCTCATTTACCGGAGGAAACGCAGAAGTGTAACACTTCTGTGGCCAGTCTTCTGTGGTCGTGGCACTTGCCCATTTGTGCAACAGCGAAGACTATTGCGTGGCCGCACCACCATGATATCCTCCATTTCACATGTACCTACACACCTGATATTCTTTTTTGTTGTTGCTTGTTTTGTGCAAAATGCGCTCAGTTTTATTGAAACCAGATGATATAATAACAGAGTAATAATTACTAAAATTACTAATTTTTTTACAATTAAAATAAAATACTAAAATAAATTAAAATGAACGAAACAATTTTTAAAAGATTAAAATATCAAAGTAATTAAAATATTTCGCAATTTGTTCTTATGAAATGCCTCTACAAAAAACTTATCTTATTGCAAAACATAATAATGAATATTTTTATGATTTATACTTATATACAAAAAGAAAACTATGTTTTAGTATGTTTATCGGTTACCTAATACCTAAGACCAAGCTTTGCTTATTAAAATTTCTAGAAAATCTTAAGTGCAGGGATTAGCACTATAAAAAGCTTAGTTCGGGACTAGATATGGATTATGTAGGAATATATCCCGAATATACAGCCTGTCGTTACCATCGCGACAATAAATCAAGACACGTCTAACGCTACTTACCAATAATCATAAAAAAATATTAATGTTAAAAAAAATATATTTTTTCAAACAAACTAATCAAGTAAAAAAGACGAGACGAGAATTTGTAACATCCTTTACAACTACAACTGAATGATTCATACATTCCGAGACTTTTTCGTTCGTTGTTACCGCATCGCATTAAAAGCCTCTCCTTCTAACAGTATGTTTTGTCTCAATCTCTCAAATTCATTCAACCCATTCATATGCTTTGTGACCTTTACAAATGAACTTTTATATGTAAGGGTGTTCTAAAATTGTTTGTTTTGGAAAATTTAATAACTCTGTAAATATTGTTGTTTAAAGAAAGTAAATTTTTAATACAATTTTAAAAAGTTATCCTCTATATGTGTGTTCATTTATTGTCGCGATTGTAAAGACACGCTGTATACGAATAGTCACCTTCCAAAGGTCCATGTTGAGAACTTTCTCCTGCAAACGTTTCATTGTGACCCTCAGGTCGTGATGGTACTTGCAGAGTCCGGCAACGCAGTCCCTCTGTCTTCTCTTGCACGCATTCTTCTCCTGCTCAATGTTTAGGGCGGGCTCGTTCTCTATGTCCTGCACTTTCTTCTTCTGCAGACGTATCTGGGCGGCGATGGTGCGGACCTGGACGAGGGACGATGGAAATTATTATGTGAATCTTCTATAAATTGTTTAACAAGCATATCCATAGTACAAGACTTGCTTAGTTTGGCTCTGGTCCCAAACTAAGCAACTTATGTTAAGTATTACGGATAAAAAAAATTTGCCCTAAAATATTTATTACTAGCTTTTTGCCCGCGGCTTCGCTCGCGTTGAAGCCCTTAAATAAATATCTTTCTTTAAAAAAATTTTTCAATTGAAAAATAGGCGTTTCTCAGGCTCTAGACTGTGTACCAAATTTCATTTAAATCGTTTAAGTGATTTCGGCGTGAAAGTGAGACAGACAGACAGAGTTACTTTCGCATTTATAATATTAGTATGGATTTATTTATTTTTATTGTTATATTCTACTCGCCTTCTCTACTCCATCGTTGATCTTCTTCCTCTTGACGTTGAGTTCGTTCAGGTTCGCCTCCAGGGCGGAGACTTTGCCGTCCAGCTCCTGGCTTTTCGCCTTATGCGCCTGCGCCGTTTGATTGAAGCTCGACAGCCTGCGGGAATATTCCAACACACCGATCGGTAACACCACAAAGTTTGATGACTCCGTGGCGCAGTTGCCAAAGGTGTTGGCTTCGGCGTCGGCGGTCGTGGGTACGATTCTTTGATGTTTTTAAAAGATATATAAAAAAAAAACTGTTTAAGTTTTCAAATTAAAATTCAAAAAATTTTAAACAAAATGAGGACCGACTTCAAAACACAAAAACTCGTAGCACTAAAAAGGTTTTAATAATACACTATTATAAACAGTCTAACCTATACATATAACCTAATCAACCTAATCTCAACAAAACACAACACTACAAACACTACAACAAAATTTAACAACTTATTTATTTATAAATAATTAAATAATAAATATTTTAGGACACATTTTACACATTGTTTTCTAGTCCCAAACTAAGCAACGCTTGTACAATAGGTACTAGATAACTGCTAACCATCACACAATATTCTTTCAGTAGTGGGGATCGAGCCCACACCCCCTCACACACATACAGGTCCACTATCCACTACGCCAAGGGGCCTTATGTTTCTTAAATTCTTATTACAATGAATGATTTGATTTGATTCGCTCCCAAGCATCAAACGGTACCCACTGGCTGTTAAAGTTGTTTATCTGCTCGACGTCCATCGTGTTGGCCAGCAGCCTCGCTTCGTTAATCTCTATGGTGGAGCTGGACTTGGCTCCGCTGTAGGCCGAAACGCGAACGGTGAACCTGTGGTTCGCTGTAAAGAGAAGACATGGACTGTGAAGTATGCGAAATTTATAATCTGTGCTCATCAAGCAATTGTTAATTTTATGATAGACTATAAAGTATGCATATTTTAAAGAATGCATACTTTGTAGTCTATCATACGGAATTTGTAATCTGTGTACACTCTGTGCATAGAATACAGATATGAGCAATTGTTAATTTTATGATAGACTATGAAGTATGCATACTATATAGAATGCACACTTTGTAGTCTATCATACGGAATTTGTAATATGTGTACACTCTATGCATAGAATACAGAATAGAGCAATTTTTAATGTGCACTTTTGCATTTTCCAAACTTTTTTGCCCTCACCGGTGAAGAAATACGTGATGTTCGCCGGGACTTTTCCGCTGTTGTTGTACGTGTGGTCGTTGCCAATCGGTATCTTGTGAATGGAGTATTGCTTGCACAGATAGTTCAAAATGGGCTCCGGGCCGGTTATTGTGTCCAGTACGTATGTATAAAAACCGAGGTAGCTGAAAAAGAAAACGGTTCATATTTTATACTGACCACCCTAGTCAGAATACCCTAGATGAAAAAAACCGGCCAAGTGCGAGTCGGTTTCGCACATAAGTTTTCGTACCATTATCTAAAAAACGGCAAAAAAAAAAAACATATCTATGGGAGCCCTACTTAATTATTTTTTTATTCTGTTTTTTCGTATTTATTGTTATAGCGGCAACAGAAATATATATCATCAGTTTATGAGATACAGCCTAGTGACGGACAGACAGACGGGCAGGCAGGTAGGTAGAAAGCAGTCTTGGTAATTAGGGTTCCGTAGGTTCCATGGCAGAGTTGTTAGCTACGGCGCCAGGGGTCGTGGGTTCGATTCCCACAAGGGAAAACTATTTGTGTTAACCACAGATGTCCAAGGGCGGCGGTATTCACTTAACATCAGGTGAACGGCCTGCCCGCTTGGCAACTTTTCACATAAAAAAAATTACGAAAATGAGAGAAAAAAATCAAAATGTCTATTAATAAATGAATTTTAGTCATTATGTAGTTTTGTTAATTATTTCAACTATTTGTAATTAAAGTAATTAAAAGTTATATTTATTTAACATAACATAATTTGAAAGTCATTTAAAAAATATCTTTGATTATTATAATACAGGGATTTTTGGGGCTTTTGAAAATTGTCTTTTCTGGGCTATCTAGGGTTATTTCATCTTGATTTTGGGGCCACTTTTAAAATAAGTTGGCAGCACTGTGGTAGGACCACGCAACACTATTCGCTGTTGCACGAATGGGCAGGTCCGTCCGGGTTAGTACCACGACCTCACAGAAGACCGGCGTAAAGTAGAGGTCTTACACTTCTGCGTTTCGTCTGGTGAGTGAGGTAGCCGGGGCCCACATTATTAAAAGGTGGCAACACATCTGCAATCGGTATTGCAAATATCCATGGGCGGTGGTTATTACTTAACATCAGGTGTACCATCAGCTCGTTTGCCACTTTCTCACATAAAAAAAAACTATCTACAACCTCCGCTTGGTTTGGTACTAGACAGCATCGTGTAAAAATGTATTCCCGATGTGTTCGTACCTCAGCTGGCCGATGTCCGTCCTCTGAGCGTTGAACCGGCCCGCGCTGCATATCGCGTTGACCCTCTTGAGGCCGCCCTCGAGCCTCACCTTGCGGAGGAACAGGTTCATGTCCTGGCTGCACTCGAAGGTGAAGGCCACCAGGTCTCTGGCCGGCACCGTCGCCTCCAGGTAGCGGGCGTACTTCGGGTCGGTGAAGTTTATCTGAGCAGTGCAAAGCCAGTCACTCGGTGGATACAAGACTTCCTTATTAAATATGGACCTGTGTCAAGCTCTTGTTGAACGAGCAAAAACTACCACAGACATTAAGGTGTAAACACTGTGAAAAAAAAAATTGGAATGTATTGTTTTGGAGGGGATAAAAGCAGAATATTTCAAATTGATGACTTAAAAGTTATAAGAGAAGAGATATGAAATATAAAAATATGTTAATATTACATAGTATGCACAATTGTAAACCTAGATTTAGATAAAACGTTTTTTTTAATTTTTCACCATTTGTATTAACTTTATTTGTTACGACAACTGTGTATTATTTTTATTATTTTGCTGTAAAAGCAATAGAATTGAATATTTAATGGTTCACTAAACCCGTCCAAAGAAAAACCAGGCAAACGGTTTACCTGATGTTAAGTGAATACCGCCGTCCATGGACATCTGCTACACTCCGGCTCCGGCCACCTCACTCACCAGACGAAACGCGAATGTATTATACTTCCAATTTTGCGCCGGTCTTCTATGAGGTCATGGTACTTACCCGGACGGGCCTGCCCATTCGTGCAACAGCCTAGGCTGCTGCGTGGCCCTACCACCGTGAAATATAAAAGCGAACTCACCTCGAGAACCATCGGTTCGTACACAGGATGCTGAAACATGTTCTTGTTTTCCCTCAGCCACATGACAGCTTTGTAGCAGTCCTCGCTGTAGGCTCTCAGATTGTTTAGACGCTCCACATCAATATTCTCCAGGTTGCGTACTCTGCGGACATAATATTTCATAAGCTGTAGTCACTTTAGTTTTTTTTAACATAAACACTAGCTGTAAAAAATGTTTTCTGTGTACCACCCTTAACCCTTAGGCCCTAAGGCTTAGGGGTATGAAAAATAGATTAACACTAAATCTTAGACCTACCAAATATACATATAAAATTTCAACACAAAAAATTGGTCAAGCCATTTGGAGGATTATGGCAACTAGCAGTGTAAGTCAGAATTTGTGACAGGAAAATTTTATACATATAGATATAATAAATGTCCCGCATTTGCATTTACTCAAAGCTTCATCGAATTACATGAAAAACAGTTGTATTGTGAATTTTAAATAACCATATCAATTAGCTACAGTACTTGTTTGCTCATCTCTTACCATAATATTACTATAAGTAAAGGCTTGTTATTGGCCATTAGTCAACTAATTTAGGGCTATTTAGCTAAAGTCTTCCGTGTCTTAAATAAATAAATAAAATGCGTTAAGACTGTCCTCCGCTAGCTTTTAATTCAATACTTGAGCAACCCGAATTCTAGTCCCCATGCACTTTGCAACCAGATAGAAAGTTGGACGCAGATTATTATATATGAAGAAGGCCAAGGCCCAAGACCCCACAGGTGTTGCAAATGTCCATGGGCAGGCGGTTATCACATAACATCAGATGAACCGCCAGCTCGTTTGTCACTTTCTCACATAAGTTAGTTAATTGTTATGTGAATAAATCTTTCTGTAATCACAGCTTTTTTTTATGTGAGAAGGTGGCAAACGAGCTGGTGGTTCGCCTTATGTTAAGTTATAACTGCCGCCCATTGACATTTGCAGATGCATTGCAACCTTTTATGAAATTGGGCCCCGGCTACCCCATTCACCAGACGAAACTCAAAATTACAACACCCCCACTTCACGCCAAACTTCTTCGTGGTCGTGGTACTTCTCCGGACGGAGCTGCCCATTCGTGCAACAGTTAAGACTATTGCGTCTAGAAGAAAGAAGACAAACCACATACTTCCGTCTAGAAGGAAGAAGACATACCACATACTTGCGTCTACAAGAAGAAAGAAGACAAACCACATACTTGCGTCTAGAAGAAGAAAGAAGACAAACCACATACTTGCGTCTACAAGAAGAAAGAAGACAAACTACATACTTGCGTCTAGAAGAAGGAAGAAGACAAACCACATACTTGCGTCTAGAATAAGAAAGAAGACAAACCACATACTTGAGTCTAGAATAAGAAAGCAGACAAACCACTTACTTGTTCTGGTAGAGTCGAATCTGCGGCATAATGTTGTTTTCGAGGTCGTATTGTATTTGTAGCTTTTGCTTTTTAAGTGTCTCTATCGCTGCGTTGATCTTCGCTATCGGCTTGTGTAGTTCCGCCAGTTCCATCTTCACTTGTGTCTCTGGAAACAATTTTCGCTATCTATAAACATTGAACTGACAAAGTAAATAAATAAACATAAAAATAAAAAGCAATTAGATATCCTTAATAATATTATGAAGGCGAAAGTTTTATGCATGAACGGATGTTTGTTACTCTTTCACGCAAATACTACTGAATGGATTTTAATGAAACTTTACAATAATATAGCTTACACATCAGAATAACACATAGGCTATAATTTATATACATATTTTTATGTATATTTTATGTATATGTATGTATATCTCTGTATAGTCTTTTTGTCTGAATGTTACGCCTTCAGCCTATTCTACGTTGACTTAAGACTAAAATAAGAGTAGATGAGACATCAAGATTTTCGCATGGGGATATCGACGGCTTACCTTAGTGACTAGTGGACGCGTAGTCCGGAAGGCGCAGGTCCGAATCCCGGTAGCGTCGAAAATTTTTTGACAATTTACATGTTAAATTTCATTTTAAGTTTTAAAGGTTAAATTGTCTTAAAGACATCCCTCGTTCGAATTATCGTTGTAAAACGATATTAGAAATTGTTTGTATGCTGGAAAGGATATAACAATGGATGCGCCAAGCATTGCTTCAAATGCTAAATAACAATGTAGAGAGAAGGCGTTAAGATTTTCGTCGCTGTGGCTAGAGCGTCAGGCCACGAATGCCGAAGACGTGGGTTCGATTCCCACAGCGGCGGCAATCTTTTCGTACTTTTTCTACATGTTTTAATGTTTTGATTTCATTTTAAGTTTCATCCAAAATGCAAAAACTAACACTGATAATAAAAAATAATATGTGCATGCAATTCACACACGGTTGAGGTGAAACTACAAGTAACCTACAAGAAAATGAGATGAATATAGAGTATCAGGAGTAGGATAATTGTATGGTTTAAAATAAGTACCATCCCATACATTCACTGCTGGGTAAAGGACTCCTCTGTACAGAGGGTATTCGGGCGTAGTCGACCACGCGGCCCCGCTACGGATTGGCTGACCTTACGTATCTTAGAAAAATTTCTTTTTATTATTTCGAAAATGTGCAGTTTCCTTACCTTTCTCAGTTTTCCTATCGCGCTGAGCACGTAATAAGTCAACTTAAAATTAACAATTCCATTGGTGCCGGCACCGGGGAGCGAACTCAGGTTGCTCGAGTATACTAAATTAAAGCCGAGGGACACAGAGCTATCACGGCTTTTCACGAGTTTTTTATATTTTTTCCCCAAGTCTAAAAGTAGTGTTCGGCATACTTTCAAACTGTATTTATAGGTCTCTCCATAGATACATTTTGAAAGTATGCCGAATACCAGTTTTCTCAATACATTTCAGATCCCAATCTCCGTTCTCTCAATACATTTTAGACCCCAATCTCTACTACAATACCCTCCTCCACCCTTATGTGATATTTCATAATTTTTTCTGAACGAGCCCCTATGGCTGGTTTCAATATTCTATTTACAGATAGATTTGGTTACTAGCGATACGTATTTGACATTAGCCCCATAATACTTACGTCAAAATTCTATCTCCAGTAAACCAAATCTATCTGTAGATACCGGCCGTTAGAGGAATAACGATGGTTTTGTACCATCCCCAACGGTCTCGACGAGGCGGCTTTTGTCGGTGATGAGTTTCTCCAGTTTCGCCCTGGCCTCAATCAGCTCTCTCTCTCTGTTCGCGTTCCTGTCCATCTTCTCCTGGAGCGAGGTTTCCAAATCCTTCAGCTGGTACTCCTGCTGGCGGGCGGCGTTCAGTGTCTTCTTGACGTTGTCTTTCAGCACGTGGATTTCGCGATTCTGAAATGAGAAGATAAGACAAAATGTTAAAAATATTTTTAAACAAAGATTATTAAAATTCGTAGAAAAAGTACGAAGAGATTGTCGTCGCTGTGGGAATCGAACCCACGTCTTCGGCATTCGCGGCCTGACGCTTTAAACACTAAGCAAAACCGCTGAATGTCACACCGACGAAAATCTTAACGTGTTTTATCTACTTTGTTTTTGAGCATTTGAAGCAATGCTTGACGCATCGATTGTTATATGCTTCCCAGCATACAAACAATTTCGAATATCGTTTTACAACGATAATTGGAACATACTTTTTCAACAAATTTTAATATTTAATCTTAAATTTATTTAATTTATAAAGATTAGTTATTAAATGGTATCAATTTCTGGAAGCATTTTTCTATGATGGGTACATTTCCTTCTTCTTCTACAAATAGTAGATGAATGATCAAACGGCGTGTTGTAAAATTAATATTTAAATAATACATACATTGCTTAATTTTACACAGCATTTTTATTTTATACACAAAATATTGTAACTAACATCAAACTACAAAGCATTAACAATGCATCCCAAAGTACTTTATATGTTTAGAAACATTTTTAAGTAGATACCATTGGCAATTTTGATAAAGTATTATATTGATATTTTCAATTATGAATGGGGTAATACAATGGGCCTAATTCAGGTGTGTTTATCATTATTGTCTATAGCTTCACTTATCATCAAGTGGGACAGTGAGTTCTATGCAGTCTGTGATAAAGAAATTGATAAAACAAAGCGTTATACATACCGCTGACAACTTCTCTTGTTCTAGCTTGCTTATATTGTTTTTAGCACTCTGAATCACTCGTTCCAATGGTTCCATTTTGCCTTTGTGCGAGTTGACAAGTTTCAATGCTTCCTTTCTATCGTTTGTGTATTCAATGACCTTCTCCCTTAAGTCCTGATACTCAATCCACATCTTCTTCTTCTTGCAGAGCAGTATTTTATTCTCAATCTCCTTCCTCTCATTCATACCATCGATGACTACTTTTAGTCTGTAAGTAAGATTCAATAGATTAAGTTGATTCTATTAAAAAAGCTTTTATAGCTGATTCTAAACATTATATTTGAACACCTTCATAAAGTAGTAAAAGGTCAACTCTATTGGAACACAACAGATGTCATGACATAATAAAATCCCAACACGCGCCATAAGCAAAAAAAAACGTTAATTTAAACGTTAACAAATTTTAAAATTACAATTATTAAAAAAATCCAAAGTAAGAAGTGTAAACATGAATGCATTGCTGGGCAAAGGGCTAATAAAGATAATATTGACGACCCGAATCGCGTAGTGAGTAGTGTACCTGCCTCCAGCGTCGGAGGGTGTCGGTTCGATCCCCACCACTGGAAAAATATTGTGTGGTGAACATAGTGTTTTTCTTGATTCCTATCTCTTGTGTTCCTATATTCAACGAACTGCCGTTAGTTACATTGTCATTATCAAGTCGGTATGAAAGTTACGAAGTTATGGAACTGACGGCCGTTCGTTGAATATAGGAACACAAGAGATAGGACACAAGAAAAACGTTTGTCGACGACCCCAGAACAAGAACCAAGCGATTTGCTTCATCATTTATCATCCGTACAGCTAAGGAATGGAACAACCTGCCGGCGTCCGTCTTTCCGTCCGATTACAACCTACAGTTACATGAGCCGATACCACGGCAACACCACGGGGTCGTCAAGACTTACCTCTCGTTGAGCCGTATCTGTTCCTGCAGCACCTGCGCGTTGTTCTGCAGCTTGGTGGACAGCCCCTTCTGCCTGTTGCGGCTCTCGATGAGCTCGTCGAGCTGGGCGGCGCTCTCCTGGCCGCCGACCGCCTGCAGCGTGCTGCGCAGCAGCTCGGGCGGGTCCATCTTGGCGAAGTCCTGCACCCGATCCTGGGGCAGCAGCTGGCACAGGTTGTCCACCTGGAAATCGGCGGCCCGTGTCACGTCCCACTGATGGGCAAACGCCTCCTTTGGGCATTCCTAATATATTTGCAGAGATAAAATTTGTAGAAACAATGTGGTAACGCCACGCAACACTGGGCAGGTCCGTCCGGGTAAGTACCACGACCACGCAGAAGACCGGCGTAAAGCAGAAGTGTTACACTTCTGCGTTTCGTCTGGTGAGTGAGGTGGCTGGGTCCCACTTTATTTAAAGGTAGCAACCATACGGGTGTTGCAGATGTCCGGGTGGGCGGCGGTTATCACTTAGCATCAGGTGAACCGTCAGCTAGTTTGCTACTTTCTCACATAAAAAAGTACGAAAAGATTGTCGCCGCTGTGGTGGTGTCAGCCGTTTAGCTTAGCGGCTAAAGCGTCAGGCCGCGAACGCAGAAGACGTGGGTTCGACTCCCGCAGCGGCGACAATCTTTTCGTACTTTCTCTATAAATTTTAATGTCAAACCTCAAGTGCAGAGATTAGCAATATGAAAAATTTAAATATTTGCAGAATTCACTTTCTTTTTTATGTGAAAACGTCGCAAACGGGCTGGCGGTACACCTGATGTTAACTGACTACCAAATCCCATGGAGGTTATCTTTCCAATTTCTCACAGAAAAAAACAACACTCAAATATCTGTATGAAACAATGTTTTCGAACTGGATATAAGTGGACAGTCTAAAAAAACTCAAAACTATTACTTGTACGCATTCGTATCACGCATAACGCATATCAATGACTTATATTCGGAAAAAAAAATGTATGAGTTTCAGCCTAAGTTTAGATAGTTTAAGGATTCTAGGGGTGCGTCTTTTAACTTCTACCTTACATAGCTTGCCATACGTTCTAACGTATCTTCCATAAGGTAAACGACGTGTACGTGTGAAATTGATGCTATGCCTGTTACTTAAATACCAATTTTCTCCATCGGATTAGTGAAAAAAAAAAATTAAGCCTTTTCCTTATTATGTTTTCAAACCAATGATACGCAATATATAATAGCAGACGTATACGAATGGTTTTTTTTCTCAAGTGCATCATTACTGTTTAGAAACGAATAAAAGCTTATCAGGAACGGTTGATAATAATTCTAAATGACCACGACCCAGCGCGGCCTCTTTCAAGTGACAAGTTGGCAAATAATTTTGTTCAAATATCGCCCTAGTAAATAAATAAATACATAGGCGTTACAACCGCGACATTAAATGAACACACTTCTAATGCTCCTTGATACTAGCTATTTTCATAAAATAAACATCAAAAATCTATAATAAAAAAAATTCTTTTCTTAAATAACTGCCTGATTCATACATTCAGAGACTTTTATATTCACATCATGCCACAACATCGCATTACAAGTTTCTGCTTCTAACAGTATGTAAATTCATTCAACCAATTCATATGCTTTGTGAACTTTACAAATACGAACTTCACGTTACAGTTTTACAGTTAAAAGTATGTAAATCTTTAATACAATTTTAAAAAGTTATCCTCTATATGTGTTAATTTATTGTCGCGATGGTAAAGATGCTGTATAACATATGTGATATCATAACTCAATACATAATGCTGATAAAACAAATTTTTATGACAATTGTTTCTCTATTAGCATTTGTAAATACTTACATGCCCTTTAAAGTTTGCTTCTAAAGCTCAAGTTTGCTTAGATAAATATAGACAGTCAATACTATGGTTACAATTTTTTCACAATTTTGAGACATACCAAAACTAATTGATAGTAGGAGAATCCTTTTTGTTTTTAACATTGGCTTTACTGTATTAAGGTGTGACTTAACTAGTTTAAATACTAAGTTCTACACTACAATTCACATAAAATCTGGAAATTAGAAATTACCTGTATATTCAATGAGGCTATTAATTCTTGCACCTGTTTTTCCCTTACAGTTTTCTTATCAATATACCAGGTGGAGACATCCTTGAGATTGAAGTTCCTTGTAATGATCACATTCTGTTTACCACGTTCCTGGTACAGCTCTATTTCTATTGTAGCCTGCTCACAGCCAGTTCTTACAAACTCAGAAATCTGTATAGATAAAATAACATTTGCTTTTATAAGTTTAATTAATACTTTATTATATTCAATCTGTGTTTTTCAGTGTAAAAGGGAAAGTTTTAAAAATATCTAAAAATTCAGCTTTAATACATTTAAAAATATAAGATTCCCGTAATATTTGTTATGTAGTAACAATTATAGGGCTACTGTTTAAATTTTGGCAGCTCAGTTATTAAAATATTAAATTAATTGTACATAGGCTAAGGGATTTCAAGGTAATTCAAATTAAAAATTACACATAAAAATTGGAGATTCATAACCTTACCTTTTTAGCCCGTCCAATCACACTGGTTTTCCCGCAGAGCCCCAAAATTATAGCGCAAACAAAAGTAGATTTACCAGTTCCATTTGGTCCAATAATAAGATTTAACGATTGACTGGGATACAATTCTACCTGTTTGAAAGTTCTGTAAAATATAAATAATATAGTAGGAACAGAAACAATGGAAAATAATAATAATTATTGGCGCGGAAGTTACTAACAAGCATAATAAGCTTACACGAAATTTTCGAGGGCTATTCTATAAATACACCCTGCCCTAACGCCACCTTCGTTATAAATTTTCGACATAATATTTAATATTTAAAATTGGTTCTTTTAAAATTTTGCATATTATACGTTATTTTCTCAAATATCCTTTTTCAACTTCACATTCATAAATATACAAGACAAGAGTGACAATGACAAGAGCTAGGGATGAGGCGTATATACTGGAACAGGTATAAATACCCAGTATGAACATGCCAGTACGCACACCGGGTATGTACGGCAGAGGCCCGTTCCATACCCGATAGGTATGGCTGGGTATGGCCGCCTCGTCCGACGGTGGCGGTATATAACGCTCGCGACATCCCGCCCGCATACCGGGTATGACGTATGTACGGCAGAGGCCCGTTCCATACCCGATAGGTATGGCTATGGCCGCCTCGTCCGACGGTGGCGGTATTTACGATCGCGACAACCCGCCGGCCGAATAGGTACGAAGTTCCCCGAACGCTTACGGCGGCTCTTCCCGATTATGCCCGAATTGAAACGTATGATTTAAGTATTTTATACCAAATATTTCCTTGAGATAAATTTATTCTTTATTTCTATGACAATTAGGTAGATAAATAATTGCGTAATAAGATTAAACAGTAATATTTATTTTGAATTACTTTTTTTTTTATAATAGGGTTCTTTACGTTGGTAAAGATGGAGCTTAATTTAGACTGATTAAATCTCAATTAAAAAAAATGATTGCTAAAAAAATATCTAAATGTTCCAATTCCAACCAAATAAAGGTTCAATTCCATACCGGGTCTCCTTTAGGAGGCCTGACATAACTAATACCTATAGGTATTTTGATACTGGGTTTTAGCACCGGGTATACGGCGATACCCGTACCTTTGAGGCCGGGTATAGAATGTTGCAGGTATATCTCATGCCTAACAAGAGCTACGTTTTTGAAGCTAGCTGCTTCCAGACTGCCGTTTCTCAGTGCTACCAATTAAAAACCTCTAAAATCCCGTAATAAAAAAAATATCCTTAAAAGAATGACAAATAATGCAAAGATTTTTGCCTTAAGTCCACCTGAATCGAATATTCAACAGTGAAGGTTATTGCAGCGAAGATTTTTGTCTTATAAAAAGTACTGAAGCAAAAATTGTAGGGCATTTAATTTTGTTAAAAACCGGCCAAGTGCGGGTCCGTCTCACACACGAAGGGTTCCTTACCATTACCTATATAAATGGAAAAAAAAATGTTGTATGGGAGCCCCACTTAAATATATTTTATTCTGTTTTTTAGTATTTGTTGTTATAGCGGCAACAGAAATACATCATCTGTGAAACTTTCAATTGTCTAACCATCACGGTACTGTTCATGAGACAGACGGACAGTCAGTCAGACAGCGGAGTCTTAGTAATAGAAAACCGTTTTACCCTTCGCGTTCGGAACCCTAATATTGTCTCTTATAATTTCTTTAGATGACCAATATTTTTACCGTAATTTCAAAAATTGTATTCATAATGAATGATGAAAAATTTAATTACTTTTGATGCTTTCTTAAAAGCCTGATTTCCATTGGTTAAGGACAGTGGCGAGTAGTGATTACAAGTACAGTGGCCAGTGGCGGGCACTGGACAAGCGGCTGTTTACATTACGGCAAGTACTTTGTCGAAATGGATGAGCAATTTTGTAGCCTGTTGCCGGCTACTGTACTAATTTGACTGCTTACACTACAGTAAATGACGAGTAAAATGCCCCGTGGTGGTTTAATTGGGCGTGTAAGAGGTGGACTTGCAAAAAAGGAGGTGATTCTATTTGGGTCTAGCTGCAAGGCTGGCCAGCCAAGTTGATTTAACACTGTCCAACGGTTTACACTATTGTACTTGAACGAATGAATGAATGAAAGAATACTTACTGTCCACCACACATAAAAGGTCATTACTTCTGTACTTTACTAAACAATGACCAATTTAAGTGTAAAATTAAAAATCAACTTATGATTAAAGCATATTATACCATTTCGGAATATCTCGACGACGCCAATGTGTAGATTTAATACTGTTGATACTCACGTAGGCTAGAATAAGATTATTATACATGTATATTATGTTTTACCCTGATATTTTTGAAGAAGAGCAACCGTTGAGTTTCTTGCCGGTCTCTTCTCAACAGAAACTGCTTTCCAAACCGATGGTACCTTACGAACCTATATACATAATCTTTGATGTAAATTTTGACGATTCATAAGAGCGCGCAAGCGTCTATTTGAATAAATATATTTTTGATTTTGATTTTGATTGACCGGTAATAAATAAATCGGGCTTAAAATTTATCTGCGTAAAATTTAAATTCATTGTAATGGACACTTTTTATCTCTACTTTCCAAAGTTCAACTTCGCATTCTTAGAAATGAAAAATCGTTCTACATGTTGCTAAGGCAGCACATAATATTGAGTAGATTGCGTTACTTAAGGCCCCTTATTTTCATACCTTTATTTTTCAGGAGGGTCAAAAAATCCCTAAAAATGTAACACCCCTAAAAACATTTCAACGCGTTTGTTTAACCCCTAATATTGGGGGGAAAACCCCTAAGTTGGCAATCATGCGTTTTGTATAACACAGCGAACAAAAGTTCCCCGAAGTGATACCATTATGGGCATCTTTTACCCAAGTGTCTTAGGTTACTTTAGAATACTTGCACAACTTTCATTTATTATAAACATGGGCAGATTTTCATGATTTAATCTTACACATTTTTGTACTTAAAACTTCACTGAACCTACATTCCACTCCATTTTGTTACATAATACATGTTATTTATTTACTGGTAACTACACTTTATAAAACAAATAAAATTGGAAAAGAAACGACAGGGTGCTACATCAGTTAACAAACTCCATGTGAAATAATATCCCAAAATCAGATATATTTTAATTTACAATGTCATATTAAACTTTAAACAAGTCTTGGTCTATTTATAATAGAAAAACCATTATATGGTTTTCTGGTCCAGTCATGTGATGGTTAAATACCCATTTTTAAATTAAATAGAAAAAATATAATATAGAGAACAAAAATGATGAAAGAAAAAGTGTTTCACCTTATCGAATTTTTGTGTTTTTCATTGTTATGAAAAAAAAACAATGATAATATCAAAAATAATATTAATACTAAAACTGTGCAGACAAAACTTGCTCAATTTCCGCAATGATATAAAATTTAACAATATAATGATATAAAATTTCTCCAAAATTGCGAGTTTCCGGGGAAATTCTTATAATATATACAATATATATATATATAACAGTATGAAGTAAAAATATTGTCCAGATTGGCTTAGTTGTTAAAGCGTCTGCGTGTTATTCCGGAAGACGAAGGTTCTATACCCTCAGTGGCGAATAACTTCCTTTTTTCACAAAATTTAAAGTAAATAATTATTTAATCACAAACTTTCTGATTATTTCGGGATGACGACCCGATTGACGTGGGAAGTAGTGACCCTGCCTCTTGCGCCAGAGGGTGTGGGTTCGATCCCCACTACTGGAAACATATTGTGTGATGAACATAGTGTTTTTCCAGTGTCTGGGTGTTTATATATGTATAATATGTATTTATTTACAAAATAAAAGTATGTTTTAGTATGTTTATCAGTTTTCTAGTACCCATAGTACAAGCATTGCTTAGTTTGGGGCTAGAGAATGTTGTGTAAAAAATGTGTCCGAAAAATTTATTTTTATTTATTTAAAAAATACTTAAGTCTTATGTTTTGATTTATGTATTGCAATAAATAATTTGGAGTCTGTAACAGACACAAGTAAGCACTTACTTTATTAAAAAAAATTCTACCAGAAATTATTATACTGGCAACTTCTGTAAAGAATTGACGAATCGCAGCGCCGTACGGAAAGCAGCCAAACAAACTGAATCTGGCCGATGTGCATGTCGCTCTTTCGTTGGCAAAATTGTGCGCTGTAAAAATTTCATATTCGCAAGTTTTGTGTATGAAAATTATGCTACAGTTAGCTTTTTCGGAAAGAACTCGTGTCAAATCGATTTGTGGTTACAGAAGTTAAATCAAATATCGTTCGTTACACGAAATCCAGTGGCGATACGGCGTTTTCTCCCCTTCTTTCGATTAATGGAGGGTATTCTTGTTTATAAATATTGATTTGTTGCTTATAATATTTTGAATCGTTTCCATTGTGTTTCTATAGTGAAATGTAGGCATTCGCATTTGTGTAACGAGATCTTTATCGGCAATGCAACAGTTGGATACCAGTTATGGCGCGACCATAATGCACTGTGCGAGGTGATTCGATCGTGTTTCTTGTGTTTTTTTGTGATTGATTAGTGTTATTTTGACAATGGAGGGGACTACGGAGAAGGATTGCTCTCCCTTGTGGAACCTGTATCAGCAAATCGTGTCTGATATGAAGGTTAGTTAGAATTTTACTCATTGTTCAAAACTGCGATGTTTTTATGTGCGCTATAAAGTTGTTTCGTCCTACATTTACTCTAGCGTCCTGATAATCCGCTTATATGTCTGAATTTATATGCCTGTGATATACCGGTTTATATGTCGTACTGTGATTATATGTAACTAACATATAGTATGTTTAGTTTCATTCATTTAAATATGTGATTTGTTTGTGTAAAATTTATTCAGTCGCCACATTAGTTCTAATTGAGAATATTAGCAAATTTGCTTTTGAGATTCATCAGATGTGATGAGAAGGCAATGTTTTCTTTTCTAAATATAAGAAGGTTTTGTCGAAAAACAGATTCATAAATGATATATTATATTTTGGAGTAAAATATAGATGAGTCTCATGAGGTCAAATACATTAAATGGTATTCTTCATTTTCATATAATGCATGATTGTGGTAGGATTGATCAATTAACAGAGATCAGTGGCTTAATTTTTTTTTATTTAATAATTTAAAGTATATCAATGAAATTATGATCTGGTTTTGATCGGAACAGTATCATAATCTCCAGATTGTCTATTACTTTAAAATTAACTAAACATGAATATTTACTATGTTATATCATAATTTCTCACTTATTTTTTCATTAAATA